AGAAAAAAAAAAAAAAAAAAAAAAAAAAAAAAAAAAGTGGAATGTGGATTAAATTAGTGGTTTTGGGGCTTTTAAGAACCAAAGCCTTATCAGCACACGTCATTGGAAATCTAATAAAACTCTGATGGGCCTGGGAGCTCCCTCTCCACAATGGTCCAGCAGAATACTGTGAAAACTAGGGAAGTAGATGATATAAGGTCCCTCTCCACCTAAACATCTAGTTTTCAAGGTACTTTGCCTCTGGAAGACAAATGTTGACTTGAGCTGCCCTGTTTCCTGAGCCCCTTTCTCCTAGACTAAGAGGCGGAGGTAATTCATCTTTCATACCTAAGATAGTGGCTCACAGCACTGACTGAGAACCACAGTGACAACTCCAATCCTGGGGCTCACCAACAGTGGACAGTGGTGACATATTTATTTAGCTTCACTGATCAGGGAGGCTACAGCAGATTCAATGCTGTCAAAATAGGCAAGCACTACTGTCAGCAGCAACACCCCAGCACATTTCAACAGCATCCAAGCCTCATGGCCTATAGTCTCATTTTAAAAAGCCAGCTTGAAAGCAAAGGGCAATTTAAAATGCTGATGGAGAACTTCACTGAAAAAGCACAATTCAACTGCTATGTCCACTGTAAGAAAAGCTAAGAACTCAGATATAAAAGGACTTAAATGGCAAATAAAACACAATATCAGCATTTAAAAACACTGTAATTTTCAGTTCAGAAGATGCCCCCTCCCTTGCCTGGCCCTGTTGAGCAGGCCTCTTAGTGACAGCTGTACAGAACGCAGTGGATGACCTCCACCTAGCTCAAAGGGGCAGCGCTTCAGCAAGCTATGTGCTGGGACAGTGGGACTCACGTTTAAGTGTCAGAGGCTGTAGAGCAGCCATGCCCTACGCCTGACCTGAAGCCTCACACATCCTGGTCCTGCCCTTCAGAGATCTTGTGAGTAACCTCAACTCTTGGGAAAGTGACCAGAAACTAAAACAGCCGGATTCCTGCCATGTTTCCCAAGTCTTTCTCCAGAGCCTGATCTATTTATTTATTTATTTATTTGGTACCAGGGATCAAACTCAGGACCTTGCGCTTGCGAGGCAGGTGGTGGCACCACTGAGCTACACCTCTGGCCCTGCCAGTCTATTTTAAACTCTGCTGTTAGCCCTACTTTCAGCCAATGCAACTTGGGAGGGTACAGCTGCAACCCCAGAAAGAGGGCTCCTATCTGAATAAGCACCAAACAAATGGCATCCCTCAATGACACCTGCAAATCAGCCCTTATCCTTAAAATATCTAGAATTAATTTGATATGGACAGGATCTCCTAGCCTCATATGCAAGCAAACATATCAGCTACCTCAAGGACAATAACTCATAATCTTACTCTACGATAGACGCTCGATTCTTATTTTAATATATTTTAAGGTTAAGAGATTCTATGGCACTGTTTTTGTTGGTTCTTTTAGGTGTCACAGTACCATTTTAATTCTTAGAATATTCTAACCTGCAAAGTTAAGCAAAATTAATACAGAAAAAATGCTGTGTACATCCTTAATGGGAAATCCTAGTACGTTCAGGCAACTTATCACTTTTGTGTTGAGGAAAGCGGGGACCGGGATTAAGACCAAGGTATCTAAAAACAAGGCTATTTATACAGCGCCAGAACAGGAAAGTTCAGATGACAAGGCCATCCCGGCAGCTCAAGGTCGGTTTGTGCCTCAGTGCTTCAGACCTAATTCCGCCACATGACAGCTGCACAAAGTTGGCAGTGACCACAGCGAGCTGTCTTCCTCCACGCAACACCACCTTCCGCAGTGCAGCTGTCTTTGAGCTACGTAGTACAGGTCTCACTAGTATCCTGGCTGTTCAGTTTTCCACTTGTGGACCCCCGACAAGCCTGCTAGATCATGCCAGTGTTTGAACTTGGTGAGGAGTACACCATTAGGGGCAGGGGAGTTAGCTCAGTGGTGCTGCCGCCTGCCTCGCAAGAGCAAGGTCCTGAGTTCGATCCCTGGTGTCAAAAAAAAAGAAAAACGGATCACCGTTAGACCCCAGAAGTCAATACTGGCTGTGTGTGGACACAGCTATGACATACACTCAGCTTCTTCACAACTTGGTCTAAACACTGGGTTCGCATACTGCAGGGTCCAAGCTGACACCTGAGACAGGCTTATTTTCAGACACCTGCTAGACAGCACCCACAGCTTTCAGACTGGAACCAGCTGAGCTGTTTTAAGTGTTTAAGTTCTTTAGTCAGAGGGTACATTCAGATCGTGACCCTACACAGACTGTCCCAAGGGGTGTGTGTGTATAAGACACTTCAAAGCCCAGCCAATGTACCACAGGTGTTGGGCTGGTGACCTCAGAGCCAGTGGTATTTAACATCAACTTTCCTGAGGGTAGGACTATATAATATAGCTCAGTCATAGACCAAGAGATCAGGATGTTCAACAGACAGGAAGGGAAAGAAAACCCACCTCTTAAGAGCAAGAACTAGTCCAAAAGTGACTAGATGTCACGGCCTTGTTCAATGAGAAGCAGTAGTCAGAGATCTAAAGAGCAGAGCTTCCTCCCTGTATGGAGAGAGGGAGGGAGGGGGGCCACTAGTTGTGCACAAAAATCCAATCCCAATCTGATTCTGTTTCTGCTCCCAATTCTTCTCTCTGCTCATCTGAGAACGGCAGGCAGAGAGTTTTCTAACCTCCTGCCTCCTAAATCTGCCTCTTGCTCCCACAGCATGCAGGCAGGTGCTCAGCTGGTGATAAGGGGACTGGGTGCCCTGAAATCAGAGCAGCAGGAGAAAACAAAAAAGCTTAGAAGTCAGAGGTAATTTTAATTACTACGGATGTGCAGTTCTTGATTGCCTCGCCCTTTTTCAGCTTGGGACAAAATAATTAAGGAAATGTTTTTCAGGGCTTGGGCATCATGGTGAGGCTCCTTGCCAGGGCCTAGAAAAAAAAAAAACAATCTGACGTTATACTTTGCCAAAGATCAGCTACCCAACAGCACCTCAAACCACTTTGTGAGCAGGAAAGGAACAAAGGGCACAGAATTAGAACGTGTTAGCAAATGCCACCATGCAGAACACTCAACTTTATTTGTTTTATTTATATATTTAACAATTCTAAAGTATTTACTTCTTGCTTTGACAAAAAATGAAAAATATAGGAGCACTGACTCCTCTTTAGGAGAAAAGGGTTATATGTACAGCTATGGAGAGTTACGGTTCCTCCTTTACATACAAAGAAAAATATTAATAAAAAAGTGCTTCATTGATCAAAAAAGGGCTAAAAGCTGCAAGCATTATTCACACTGTACATCAGACCCAAGAAACCCGTATCATAACCTCTTGGCACCGTTCACTAGGAACTTCACAATCTTCAATTACACTGATTTCTCCCTGCCTGCACAAGACCACGTAGTGTGGAGAAGAACTACACCATCTAAGTATGGACTCTGCTGTTGTGGAAGTCGGGGTCATGCTCCAGACGCTCTGGGATCTGCCTGGACTGACAGTGCCAGGGAAGGTGTCTGGGCCACGTGTAACCACACTCAAGGACACGTAGGAGCCACCTTCCTGAGACAGCTAGCCCTCGGCCAGAGAACTGCTTCCGAAGGGGAAGAGGAGTACCGGGAAGGATGAGACAAGCGTTCCATGACCTCACCCTACCTCCTAGCCATGAGGTTAGGCCGTCACCACTTTTCAGTAGAGCCAAATGTAGCCCTTCCCCAAGAGGGAGGGCAGGCACAAAACATGGAGCCAACCTTACAGAGCACAGACCTATACATCTCTCCACCCTTCCCCATACTCATTTTCACCACAAATATTCTTGATTTAAGGCTCTTTTTGGACCACACGAAATCTGAGGACAGGTACCCTCCTCTAAGCCATGTCCCTTCTCTAAGAAACCCTGCAAAGTCACCAACTAACCCTTCGCTGCCGGCCACCAGATATTGGGCATAGGCTCACTCTGACAGCCAGCGCTGCCAAGGGAAGGAGGAGGAAGGCTATTATTTGTGGGGACCTTTCTAACTCTAAAGGCTGATTTTACCCATTAAATGGGAGATCTATGATTTGTTTGGTTTGGGAATGGGAATTTTTGGAACCCTGAGTCTGGATTTCCCTGTGCTGGCTGAGGAAAAGAGACTGACTGGGGCATCAGACCCTGGAATGGGGCTCCTGGGTATGCCTGGGCTCAGGGGAGGCCTTGGCCACAGCAGCGAGATACCACACTGTGGCCAGTGTGCACTCATGGCTGAGGAAGCACTACCCAGCCTACCCAGGGAACAGCCCCCTGAAAGTGAAGGGAGCCCTAGACAATCTGGGTCAAGTTAAAAACAGAATCCCACGGGGAACAACATGCTGACCACCCATCCCCAGCCCCTCATTTGCCTCGGAGCGCACACACCTTCCTTCCCAACATGAGTCTGGGGTTCCATACGCTATGTGCTGCTCCCTCCAAATGCCAAGCCTGCATATCTGTGAGGTGGATGAGCCCAGCCTCTCAGGAGGGAGAGCCACGGGGGGAGTGTTCTTGGGAAGACACTTCCAGCCTCTTCACGCCAAGATTTCCCAACCAGTCTGATGTGGTGGTGGCATGAGGAATGCTCACAAATACTAGTACCGGCTGGCTTTCCTGTCCTCTGTCTCAGGCCTCTACTCCTGGTTCTGACCAGTCTCCTCCACCACGAAGCATCATGCCATCCCTCAGTGTGCCTGACAGCAGTTACAGGGGGCCTGGCAACCTCTGGTCTTCCATTAAAAAAAAAAAAAAAAGACAACCTGGGGACCTTTTCTTTTTTTGAATGCAGAGGCAGGACCGAAAAGGGAAGAGGGGCTGAAAGAAAAATCAATCTACAATCCAGTGGCACATCCCAATTTCTGTCACTCTGTACAGGCGGTTCCATGCCCCATTCCAAAATGCATGGGCCTCTCAGTCTTCCCAGGCTTCAGGGGCCTCTCAGAGGAACAGCAGCTTGGCCTCTGCCCACCTCAGGTCACTAAGCTTCAGTTTGAAGTGGCAGCAATGGGCTTATCCAGTTCAAGGTCAATGCTGGAGCTCGTGGGATGTAGGCTGCTATAGCAAGCCTTGCACACTCGACTGGGTTCAAAGAGCTGCTGGCTAGGAACCGGAACCTTCTGGTTACAACAACTGGAGCAGAATACGTTCCCACAATTCCTTGAGATGAGAAGAAACAAACAAAAGTTAGTTTCGGCTGGCAGATATATGCAGTGGGAGAACCTCAGAAGACAAAATTTTGCTGTGTGTTATGTGGATGTGCTGGAGACTCCTCTGAGATTAAACACTGGGCAGGGAAGACATCTTTACCTGGCGGAATCACAGGTCACTTTCACTTTGGGGCCAGACACTTGCCTGCCTTACTACAATGGCTCAAGGTTATCAGGTGAGTAGGATGTGCTCAAAAGAAATCTGTAAGAACAAATGGCTCCAGCAGCAGCTGCTGCTAGCTCCACGGGAAAGTCCTGACCCAGGAACTCACCCGATGGTCATACCCAGCTGGGCAATGGCCCCGGTGTAACTTGTGACCAATGACAATCTCAAGTCAAATGGAGCTGTCTCTGGGGCCCTCAGAGGAGACAATCACCCAGCCCTGCTGAGGTAAGGAGCCTCGCCTAAGGGCTACTGCCCTAAAGGCTCAGAGGGAGCAACCTGGGAAACCAGACTGCTGCCATCTAATACTGCTCTTTAGGGAGCATGCACAGCCAGGAGTCAAGCAGCCCGTGATGCATGCTCAGAGTGGAAGAGGAGAGGTGAAAGGATAAGCGCGTGGAGAAGCACATGTGCACACACATCCCTTATTAGACAGCTGTCAGTCAGTGATGGCCTACCACCTTCCTCTATGTATCTCCAGGGAAACTTAGGGCTCTGCACAAGGGCCTGAATGCACACAGGCCCAAGCCACCCTCTCCACCTCCAGCAAAAGCCCTGCTCTGATGAATCTGAAGTACAGATCCATACATCCTGACCAATACCTGTCACAGCTAAGAGAAAAGAGACGGATACAGGATGAGTTTCTGCCTGTCTTACAACCTACTTTTGCTGGGCCCTAAAGTATAAGCCAAACCCAATGAGCCCAGGATAGGAAATTCCAAGGGGCCTGACACAGCCTATCAAAGACTAGAGGAAGGCATCTACAGGAAAAAAGCACCTTTCAACCAGCATCACTCACTACTTTTGCAGTGTGCTAGTCAGAATGCAGACCTACAACTGGATTAAGGGCACTCAGGCACAGAAGACAGCTCAGAGAGAAGAATACTATAAAAAGAAAAGGTAGTATATAGGGCATTGGAAAGAGAAGTAAAATGAACATACAAACTTTGTCTTCTAAAATTCAGTAGGTACCTTGTAACTATCTCTAAAAAGCATCAGTAAGAACCTGTGGTTACATGGGAAAATTTCCAAATGCCTACATTTCTTTAATGTACAAGCCAGAGTTCACCTCAAAAGCCTGACATGAATTTCAATGGTTAAGCTTTTCTACCTGACTTCTTTCAGGGGACCCAGAAAGACCTGGATGGGGTCTTCCCTTAAAGTCTTCCATGCTAAAGTAATTCTCTTGGAAGAGCATCTCTATTCAGATCTCTCTTTAAAAACAAAACAAGAGTAGTAGTGCTATCTGACCTGGAAGTTACTAGAATCATCTCAGTCAATGACTGACACAAAGAAATAGCCCTGAAAACCCAACTGGCTCCTCACAAGATCAGCCCCTGCAGAAGCATCACTTCTTGTCAAAAGCAAGATGGACAGGCTGACTGGGAAGTCAGGAGGGAAGCACCTGCTGCAGCTGGAGACTCACCCTCAACAGTCTCCTCTTATCAGCTGCTGTGGATTCCTCTAAGCCTATCTGTTCGCCTGTGCTCCCTAACCCCAAGCTTCAACCCAATGAGTGCAGAGAGGGGGAATAACAAACAGCATTAGTGTGAAGTTATTGTAGATGTGCAGACATCACAGACAGGTTGTTGCAAATGCTCACCACGTTTGATCAACACGGTCAGTGTCCCTGCAAGGAGGGGAGAAAGAGCTCAGAGAAGAAGCCAACCAAAGACATTTGGGCTTGGGGTGCAAGATGGGAAAATATATGTTCCTAGAAGCATCATTAGTAGACAAAGAGGTTAATCCATTTTCAAGCCAGGCTCACTTCTGTGGGTGAGCCATGGCATGATTCTGATAAGCTTCCTATTCCAAGAAGACTGAACATCTGCCAGACGGTCACCACCCCAGCTGGGCCAAAGCATCTCTAGTAATTCACTACAAGGAGGAGAGAAAAGTTGGGAGCCCTAAGGATTAAAGACTGTTCTCAGCTATTACTACTAATCCCTCCAGCTATACCTGATCATTAATGTCTTAAAGGTTAAGTTTGGAACCCTGGAGCAGAGAAGGAGCAGGAAAATAAAGTTCTCTGACCACAGCCAGAAAACTGTTTTTGTTCATAGTAACCACGTTGCATTTTACACCGGGAATAAGACACAGTGATTTGAGTGGTACTGCCCCACCAATCGGGGAGACAAAACAAAAAGATATCATTTACCCACTTCAAAATTTAATAGTGATCACTCTAAACTAGACCAAAGATACCAAATGCAGTTTTGCAAACACACGAGATCCCAGGGTCTGCTCAGTCAGAACACTTCCAGTAGGAAGCCTGCTACATTCCACTCTGCAAGCTGTGTACCCTCTATACCCTGGGCCATCTGACCATACCCCCAATATACCTGCAGTGGTGTTTCCTGCTGGCGAGCCAGAAGGCACTGTCACACGCATAGCAGTGGGCAGCCAGGTGGTCAGGGAGCCAACGGGTCATCTACAAAACAGACGGGGCCAGTTTAGTGACAGGAAATGGGCCATCCAGCTGGAGCCAACAGAGCCATGCTGGTCACAGCAAGAGTCACAAGGACCACATAAGCTCCTGTGGCACCAACTCAACAGGTCTGATATCAACAGTACAAGAAAGGCGTCCAAAGCATTTCCCTGGAGGTGACATAAAGTGGCAGGCAGCAGCACCCTGGTCACCCTGGCAAGGATCCAATTCATGGAGACAATGAAGCAAGAAGGCCAGCTCACTGAATCTCCCTGGCTTAGAAATGATGGACTTGATGTAGGTTCACAGGAACTGAGACGCCAGAGGCTCAAGGCTAACTGCTCTTCCTTGGCCAGGGGAATGGGGCAGGGATGAGGGTAGAGAAAAACTGCAAACAGTTGCATGGATGGCACTCAGAGCAGGGGTTGAGCCTGTACCTCTGTGTCCTGTTTATCCACCTGCTCCCAGCTGGCTTCAGAGAAAATCTCTGTGCTGCAGCGAGACAAACAGTTCTGATCCAGATTGCTTTCCGAGTCGGGTATTGAAGTCTGTTGGCAAACAAACATAGCTGAACAGAATGAACCTGGTCTCCTCCCAAAAGAAGAAAGGGCTTGGTGAAGAAGGGAGCACTGGGGACTATGTGTGAGCCTGAGTGCTAGGGCTGCTGAATTTGCAGATGAATTAGTCACTGAACTTTGTGTTGAACAACTGCAGACAGGACTGAGCTGAGCTGAAAAGAGGACACATGGCTTGGATACAGTGACATCAGAGAGGAAAGAAAGGCCTTAGGGTTCAGAGAGTGAGGACAGAAGTGACCAGGATGAGTGCACACTCCCAGTTTCAGCTGCTCTGGTGGGTCTGTTGATGCAACCTTGCCACTTAGTTAAAACAGTGCTTTGGCTATGCCCTCATTTCTCTGAAGGACTCTTTGGAACAACGAGAAGCCATCATTAGTATGAAATAAAAGCCAAAAAGTTACTCTGGATTGCAAATCATCAGATATGCTCACCTTTCACATACGCTGACTACTTCAGAGCCGGCTCACCCTTGTACTTGACAGGATCACCCAGGTCTGTCAAGAAAACCTCCTTGGAGAACCTTCCCTCTGGAGATCTCATTTTTGGCCACCAAGCACCATCGGTGCTAAATTCTCAACAGTGTTAGAAACCAATCCCTTCTCTCCATTTCTACTGCCAGTATCTGATACAGAGTGGGTTCAAATATTCGTTTAAAAAATAACAATACTTTCAAAGATTCAGTCCGTGGGGCTGGGGATTTAGGTCAGTGGTGCCGCTGCCTGCCTCACAAGCACCAGGTCCTCAGTTTGATCACCACTTCCACCCAAAAAAGATACAGTCCATGTTTGGAAAGGGTAATAGTTCACTAGTTACTAAGGTAGGACAGGCACTACAATTTGACAGGAATACTTGCCACTGCCCTACAAATGTCAGTCCGGCCAGTTCACGATCTTCTAAGGACACAGAATACTCTCTCTGAAGAGATCTGATTACCACACAGTCCATGCTAACTCTTGCCCTTTCACTAAGTGTCTCCACAGGACATAAGAAATAAGGAAAGCTGAAAAGAGGTGGACTGCCACTCAGGTGGCTGAAGATGATCTCCAGCTTCTGTCATCTTTGGCCTTGCCCAGTCCTTTTAGAGCTCTGTATCCATCACCATATACTGAGTCTAAAGAGAACCCACACCCAGTGGGCCCTGTCTCCTTGGGCACCAATGGAGGAAGCATGACCTACTCACCACTTCATCTCCAAAGTCCCCATTAAAGCGAAGGGAGCTGGTCAGGTACTGGCTCTCCAAGCGACTCTTCAGCTCCTGGACTTGCTTCTTCAAGGTCTCCACTTCCTGCTGGTGCCCTGACTCGATCTGGCGCAGGCGCTGTTGGATCGTGTCCGTGTACACAGGCATGCCATCATCGTCCAGGTGGCTGCGGGAAGGCTGGTCGGGGCTGGTAGTTGCAGATGGTCTCCCTGAGTGGCTGTGCAGCCACTTGTGGTGCAAGTTCCTTGAGTGTAAGTGGGCAGAGCCACAGCTTGTGGCAGACAGCTGGCGGCTCAGTGAGTCCTTGCTCCTCCCAGTCTCCCCATTGGCACAGTGCCCGTTGGGTGTGGGGTGCTTCTGAAGGGTGCCAAGCACTAGGGGCTGCTCTGAGGCCTTGTTTTCAGTCTCTGGGGCACCATTGCACACAAGCCCCTCTTTACATTCAGCTACAGCCAAGGCACAAGGGGCCCGTGTTGGGCTGACAGTGAAGCCGGGGGAAGTCCTCTGTACCACAGACACCCCCTGGGGCCGCTCAGCAAGGCTCCTCTCCACAGGCCTGGGCTCCAGCACTGCGGGAAGCATGTCCTTGCCACCAAACGTGCCACTAATTACAGGGCAAGGTCTGTGATGGACTTGGGGCTCACTTTCTGACTTTACCTTGTCTTCTATTAAGATGTTCATGGGATTGTTCATGTTTGGTCCTCTGGTCTCAAATGGGACTTGGGAAGGTAGTAGAGAGCTAGACAATGAGGTACCATAGCCAACTTTAACATCCACTGGGATGCGAGGAATTATATCCTCTTGATCCTCTGTGATACTCCCTATTTGAGGCTGCTTCATAGAGGCCTCCTGGATATCCTCTTCCCTGGGGGGAGCCTGGAGTGAACTGAGAACACTGTGCCCATCCTGCTTCTCAGGAATATCCTGTGAGAACAGAGACAGGGCGCTATCTGGGGGGCTCCTCAAAATAGCATCATCCACCTCTGGTTCTTGGTAAAATACAATGGCTGAGCCCTCAGCCAAGGTCATCCTGCTCTCCTTCACTAAGGGTGCCTCCTCTTTGACCTCTGGCATCTTGACACTGCCCCTATGGGCAGGCTCCTCCACTCCACTTTCCTCTTTCGTGGCCTCTTGCAAAATGTTCTCCATCTGCCCTTCAGCCACTCCAGCTGCCACAGACAGCTCAGCACCCCCTGGAACCTTGCCAGGCTTCCCCAAGGTGTCAGCAGCAGCAGCAGGAGGCTCCTCTCCAGGTCCAGCTAGGCTGCTCAGCTCCAGTGAGCGCCGATGTTCCTGCCACTTCTCATTCAGGCTGGGGTCGCTGCTGCGCCGGCTGGCTAGAGGCACTGTGCTGTCACAGGCTGTGGTCAGATTGTCGAATGATCTAGTCTTTGGTAGCCTAAAAAAAGGGGAGGGGTTTAGGGAAAATGAGATTCTTTGGGGCAATTCAGAGGGAAGCAGAAGACAGTACGTTTTAACAAGCTGCTTATTATAGCACATAGGAAACCATGGTATCTCTGAAGGAAGGCTCAGCAGGCTAGAGCAGCTCCCCTACGAGTTCTCCTCCTATCTGCACTGCCCCCCACCCAATCCCTCATCCATACCAACATACTAACAGCAAAAGCTCTTTAAGAACGGCACAACAGCCAGGCACGGTGGCACATGCCTGTAATCCTAGCACTCGGAAGGTTAAGGCAAAACAACTGCCAAGAGTCCAAGGCCAGCCTGGACTACATAGTGAGTCCAAGGCCAGCTCAAACTCACGAAACAAATAAAGACAGGCATAACATTGAGTTACAACAACCCACCCCATACTTTTCTACTATAAATCTGTACTTTAAGCGTTAACAGTAGCTGGCTGTGTGTCTTGGTAACTGTGCCTGGGGGATACAGGAAGAAATCTTTATGTTTACTCAGTACGATGAATGGCAAGGTGTGCGCACGTGTGCAAAAGTGTCTAACCAGGATTTTTTACTCACACAATGCTTGTCTAACAGGGTTTGCATATGTTTACCTGAGCATCACAGGGGGGAAAAATACACCCACACCACTCTTGTTATGAAAATATGTATTTTATCTTAATGGAATGTGGGCATGACTCACAGTAGCTGCACCTGGGGAAAGCAAAAACCCATCTGTGCATTCACCCACTTGGCAGACGAATAGCAAGGTGTGTACAGGAGCTCCAATGCAGCAACAAGTCTTCTAACCATGAAATGCTCATTGCTACATTTCTGTGCATTTAGGATTTTTTTTTTAAGTTTTTTCTTTTCCTTTCCCCTTTCCCCTTTCCCCTTTCCCCTTTCCCCTTTCCTTTTTTTTTGTACCAGGAATCAATCTCAGAACTTTGCACTTGTGAAGCAGGCAGCAAAACCACTGAGCCAAATCCCCAGCCCTTCAATTAAGTTTTCTTTTGGTTTTTCTGGTAGAAGTAGCCCAATTCAGTACAATGGCACATGAAAAACCAGATCTGCAAGTTTTGGAGGTGGGCAAAAGTGAATCATCAGATGCTCATGCATGGATGGAGGATAATAATGACTTTGATGCTGTCCATATGAGCCAAAGTTCCCGCGACAATGAAATGAAACAAGAACAGACTGATACAGACATAGGGAATGCAGACCTCCTTGATTCAGATGACAAAGAAAACGGCAATGTGACTACATTTTAGTCTAGTCAAAATGTTGCAAAATGGTCACACAACGAAATGGAATGATCCAATGTTAGAACTAAGTCCGGGGGAAGAAAAAAAAGAACTAGGTCGGAAAACATAGTGAGGATCTTGGCAGGGGTGAAACAAACCTATTAGACCAGCACTGGAATGCATTTTGGAAACTGTAACAGGTGAAATGCTACAAGATGTTAAATACACAAGGGCTGAAATATAGTGACCCTTGAGGTATGACCAGCCTGACATATGAACAACTGGGTCATAACCAGAATTTTAGTTTTAACTCATGAGCAAAGTTTTAAGTTACAACATGAATGCCTGCTGCTTGTGCTTCCAGATGGTCTCAGACACAGATTTAACCCTTAAAGAGTTCTGGAAGGAATATTACAACATCCTTTCCTGTGTGGGGCTGAGAATTCTTAGGCCAATGTCTAAGAACAATGAACATCTGCCTACATATAGGAGACTTTGAAGACTATGTAGAGGTGCCTGAGCCTTCAATTGACCAACCTGAGTTACAACCAGCCCTCATCAATGGAGTTCTTAAGTCAAGAATGCAATATACATGTGAAATGTGTGTGCACCAACAGCCGTATTAAACAATGGTTTTTTTTTTGTTTTTTTGAGACAGGGTCTTACTATGTAGTTGAGACTGACTTGGAACTATGTAGCCCAGGCTGGTCTCGAACTCACAGCGATCCTCCTGCCTCAGCCTTCCAAGTGCTGGGATTACAAGCATGCGCCACCATGCCTAGCTAAAAAATGTATTTATTATGACACTAGCTGAAATGAAAGCATTCATAGATCTGCTGTACTTCGCAGGGACTTCCCACGACAACTGCCATGATCAGTATAAAAGGGCCAAACCTGCCTTCTTGTAAATAAAATATTACACAGGCCACTTCCAGGTAAAAGTGATGCAAGTTTACCATACAGTGTTTACCAAAAATAGGGGAGGACAGTCAACTTTTGCTGTTGGATTAGGTCAAGGTACTGTGTATAAAATCAGTATGGAAGTTCAGTGTTGATTTTTCCTTTCTTTTCTAAACTGCATTCCCATGCCCACCTAATAGCCTCTGTGTATTGGCTATTACAGTACTTTGAAAGTGAGGTTTTTCTTCAATTATGTACAACCCAAAATGTTGGTGTTTTGTATGGATCACAAGTGCAGCAATCCTTAATTTTCTGCTATTTGTCACAATTGTTAAATAACCAAGTGTGTATTGCATGAAAACATTATGACCGCTTCCTCTTAGTTTAAATAAACTCAAAGGGAACTGGATTTCTAAAGCACCTTTCTGTTTGCCTGATACCTACTTTAGCAATAATTTTTTTAGTACCCTCTGACTCAGAAAAATAAAGGTGTATTTTATCACTGTTAAAAAAAAGTTCAGTATTGGGCTGGGGATTTAGCTCAGTGGTGCCACCACCTGCCTTGCGAAGTCCTGAGTTTGATCTCCAGCACCCCCCCAAAATTCAATACTTTATACTAATATAAACTCATAAAATTAAATAATTCATCAACAGAAATATTCTAAATAATAAACATGGGTATTATACACCCATGTTTCTGTGCCTTTGTGACAAAATTGGTGTTATGCTCCCCTTAAAAAAGCAATTCTCTTGATGCTGTTATATTTCTCAGCTGTGGCAGAGTTAACACTGACTTTTTGATATTATAGTATTTTAAATTAAAAATTAATTACCTATCACTCTGAATTTAATAAGCTAATTCACAAGTGGCAAAGCCAAAATTTCTCTCATCTCACCACACTTGCCTTTCAAGCCTCCGAAGACAAATCAGAGCAAGGTGACAGGAGCAGAGAGAACAGTGGGTGAAACACAAACCAGGAGGTCACAAAGAGCCCAGCAGATGTGCTCCATCACTGAGAAAATGCTCAAGCGCATACAGTAGAACAATGTAGCAACAGGGCATAACCCACTTCCAAAAACAAGGCTCTTACTATCTTCCCTGAGAAAACATCCAAGGGCTAAGAAAGATACTGGACACTCAGGTAATACCGTGATTACCGACCATCCCTGGGCGTGTCCCCACAAAAGAACATAGCCATACATGAGCTGAGGTCTGTGGCATCACCCTGGGCTCACCTGCTCAGGGGAGGATCATCAGGGCTAGTGCCTGGGGCTGGGTATGGTGCACAACTGTCATCCACAGGAGTAGATGGGGATGGACAGGGCAGGTACACTGCACTCCACAGCATCAGGTTACGCACATGGCACACAGGGTACAGCACCTAAGGAGAGGGGGAGGGACACAGGTTTAAACATGTCCAATTAATCTTTTACAAATTTCTGGAAAGCTGGACATGGATGCACAGGGAGGTAGCATCAATGGATATGAGTCTATCTCCTGAGATCAACACAGGACTCAATATTTTATGTGGCAACATGTGGCCATGAAAATCTAAGATTTTTAAGATCCATTTCTCAATTATCTCAGGTCACCTTTACTGAATGACTGACTTTCATCATCTTGATGTGCTGCTTTTACTACATAAGAAAGTGAGTTATTCTGTTAGGTGTGAGTGTCTGCTCCCCTTGTATAAAAGCTGGGCTTCAGTGGAAACTGTCAGATCTGTTTTATAGGATCATTTAAATTAATCACATAAAAAGGAGAGAATTTTCCACCTGTATTATTACTTTGCCAGCAGGCACAGTGGAAGAGAATCTGTTAGCTTAAATCTTTTCTTAAATGCAATGAGAAACATTTTAATAGCACAGCAAAGCAACTAACTGCTGATTAGCCTGCTTTGACTTCTGATAGGTTTAAAATGCATTCTGACAAAGGGAACACTGACACACAGATGTACGTGTTTCCTTTTCTCTGCTTAACAGAAGGTATTCCTTTGGAGAACAAAGTCTTAAAGAGCCTACCAGCTCTCCATGAGAGCAGAAAATCACATAGACACTGAGGCCAACATCAGGCCAAGTTTGGCTCTGAGGGTGTGGAGCCCACTCCTCTGAACTATCACAAGCACTCAGGAAACGTAAATACCTCTCCCACCAGTTAGATCATGCTAGGTATACATAAAGCTCTGGAGGAGATGCCAGAAAAGATTTGTGTCTAGGATGGCAAAGTAAAGATGTGCATTACACTAAACCTCTGTGAGTACAGTCAGAAGCAGGTCAGAGGAAACAGGCCTTTCTAGAAATGACGGGAAAGAATGGAACCCAGCCCACCCAGAGACTTGAGAGATGCCGTCACAAAAAGAAACTCAAGCAGGTTCCCATGTCCCACCCTCAAATTCATTCTGCTGATCAGAAGAAAGGCTAAAAGATACATACGGCTTCTGACTGAGAGGAATATAGTAGGTTTTTGAAAGCCTTGTTGCCTGCCCGAAGGAGCGACCACACAGAACATGTCCGTTCCTGAGTATGCTTTTCTCCTCTCTCCTTGGCGTTGTTGCACAGGAATGTTCCAAAGAGGCAGGAATAGGTATGCTGCACCAGTTTCACCTAGGGAAGTCCAATGAGGCAAAATCATATAGCAGGACACACATTCTCTGGGAGAAGCCCGCCCAGCTAAGCAATTCTACCCTGACATCCCTGAAAGAACTTCAGCTCACTCTGCCAGGACTGGGGAGCAAAAGAGGCTACACAACAGCCTCATACAGGGTCTGATCTTGTCATCAGCACTCATCAGTCAAAGACAGACTGGTCCACCCCATTCCTCTCTGCTTCCCTGCTAAACAGTCTGAGCTTCTAAGCTAACAGCTATCCTCAGTAGTGACAGAACATATAAACTGGATACAGGAGCAGGTCACTGTACAGCTCAAGCCTGAGCTGAAAGCACACTTAAATAACTATTTATTCTTTCAACAAGTCATTATTGAGCATTTCACAAGCCCCAGGCATGACTGTATGTCCTGGATATGCAGCAATAATCGGCCAGCTTTTTTCTGTCCTGATGGAACTTGCTCTAGCTGTGAGGGAGAAGTGACAAGTCCTACGGAAAAAAGGCTGGGTAAGAGGGACAGGGCAGGTTCTAGGCAGTAGGAAGGCCTTGATGGCTAGACCTGATGGAAGTGAGAGAGCAGGTCACGTGGGGATCTGAGGAGAAATATTCTAGGCAAAGGGACTGCAAGCACAATGGCTCTGAGATGAGTGCATGTTTATGATTTCTGAAGAACCATGAAAAGACCAGTGTAACTAAAAGAGACTGCAAAAACAGAGAGCATGTTGGTAGTGTTCAACTCTACCCTGGGCCAAAAGCACACTCCTAGGGAAATTGACAAGGAAGGACGAGGAAGTAGCCCTATAGGACATTTAAGGAATTTGGGTTTTTTTCTATGTAAAAAGTAGTCACTGGAAGTTTCTGAGCAGGGGAATGACACAGCCTATTTCATGTTTTTCTAAGATCCCTCTTTTGTGCTAAGTTGATCCTCTAGAATTAGGGCAGGAGATAATGGCAGTATGGACTGTGGGGCACTGTAAAGGAAGCAATAAATAATCAAGTTTTAGATACATCGTGAAAGCAGAGCTACAGAATATAACAAAGTGAATATGGAGAATCAAACAGTTGAAGATGACATAAAAGTGTTTTTGTTTGTTTTTTTGTACCAGGGATCGAACTTGGGCTTTTGCGCTTGGCAAGGAAGGTGGCAGAACCACTGAGCCAAACACCTGGCCCTACATAAAAGTTTTGATCTAAATGAATGGAAGGCTGGCACTGCCATATCGTGACATGGAAGACTCCCTTGAATACCAGGTTCCTAGAGTGGGGAAATGTAGAATTCAAGGATTAAGCTTTAAATGTACTGTGTTTGAAATGCCACTAATGCCACTAAGGCACCCAAGAAGAGTTGGGTGTGCAGCTCACTAGTTGAGTGCTTGCCTGCCAGGTACAAGTTCCTGGGTTTAATCCCAGCACAACAGGCAGGTAGACAGGTAGACAGATATAGATAAAAAGATATCAAATAGAACTATCATGTAGTCACAGTTGGATAATGTGAGGCTGGACTTAAGTGGAAAGATTTAAGCTAAAGGTAGACACATATCAGATTCTTCAGATTTTTTTTGGTACCAGGGATTGAACTGGGAACCTTGCACTTGCAAAGCAGGTGGCAGCACCAGAGCTAAATCCCAGCCCAGATTCTTCAGAATACTGATGGCAGTTAACGTCACTAGCCCTGGAGAGATCTTTAGAGAAGGGGTTTGATGGAGAAGTTGTCTGGAAGCTGAATCCTGGGGCATTCCAATATTCAGAACTGAGCCGGGTGTGGTGGCACGCGCCTGTAATCCCAGCACTCGGGAGGCTGAGGCAGGAGGATCACTTGAGTTTGAGACCAGCCTGGGATACACAGTGAGTTCCAGATCAGTCTCAACTATATAGTGAGAAGTTGTCTCAAAACAAAACAAAAAACCAATATTCAGAACTGAAGAAATCAAGAGGAATTAGCAAAGGAGACAAAGAATTTGCCGAGGAGCCAAGAGAAGAACTAAGAATGCTAAATGCTAGAAATCAGCTGAAGAAAGCATTTCAAGAAAGGAGTTGAACTGTCAATAGCAATGACAGATTAAAGAGATGCAAACTGAACACTGATCGCTGGATTAGCAACACGAAAGTTGCTGCTCACTTTTAACAAAAGCAAGTTTGCAAAATGGCATGGTGAATGTCTGACTTAAGTGGGTTTAAGAGAAAAAGAGAGGAATTTGAATATCAGTATAGAAGACTCAAAGAGCTCTGATATAAAGGAAATCAGAGAAATGGAATGACAGGTAGAATGCAGGTCAAAGAAAGAGACAAAGTGGGACACTAGGCCATGTTTATATGCTGATCACTGTGACCTTGTAGGGAAACATGCCGACACAGAAAGCAGAAAGGAGAAACGCTTGGATGGAGGCAGCAGAGCGGATAAGAAAAGGACAAAGACTGTGCATCTTCTATCGAATGAAAGGGGGCAGAATGTGGGAAAGATACAGGAAATTTGGTAAATGGACTGGGAGGGAGGATAGGACATTCTGATTGCTTCTATTTCTAACTACTTTTTAAGGTTTCTATCATCCTTTTTAAGTTTAAAACAACTCAAGATCTACACAAGGCAAACCTAGTACACCTGTATTCAATGAACAACTGCCTACTTACTACTACTGTTTTAGATAAAAATGGGAGAAAACAATCACTCCTCTATTAAATTCTAAAAAGCCTGCAGTTTCGTGTGAAAATTAGCCCACAAACATTTGTACTGACATCCTCTCAAAACTAGATGGTTCCCAAAATGTAGAATTCACAAGCTCAAACTCACAAGGAATGCTTCATTGAACTCAAAAGAGCAAGGAAATTGCCTCTGAAGCTGATGAACGCAGTCAAGCCACTGCAGAAACACTGGGCAACGCTCATTTAGATCGTCCGAGTTCTCCCCATGACCACACCGGTCAGCAAACTTATGACCAAAATCCAGCCACTCCATCTCCACAAGGACCTGGAAACCCTGTAGGGAAGCACCCAGGAGAGACCATTTGTGCTGGACTATCCAAAACTTTGACAGTCCCGAGCCTCGTGTCACCTAGAGCAACCCCTTTCTGAGCTTCCCAGTAAGTGCTTCTTGCCCTTCCCCACAGATGAAAGTTCTCTCCGTGCTGAGACACTTAGTGAAATTGCCCAATCCGTGAACTCTATCCTATATTCACGGAAGCATACTGTGTACCCAGCTAAATCTTTCTTGAGTGTGTGTTTATATTTTTTGCCTCTTTCATCCACATAAAAGCTACGTGTATCCCCATCCCTTTATTTTGCAATGTTTTAGCTTTGGTATTGCATTTACAAAGTCATGTTTGTAAAATCCTTTCCACCCCAGATTTTACAAATGTTCATATATATTTTAAGTATGTTATGGTTCATTCTCATATATTTAAATCCTTAACCCAGCTCAATGGGTAATATCTGCAGAGTAGGGCTCCTTCTCCATAGAACACTCTGGTAATATCTAGACCCGTTACCCTAAGAACGCCAAATTCATTTATAGAAGTCCCACTTTCCTGGGGTAGCCAAGTAGATAGGCTACAAGGGAAAATGTCTACTTTCAATGCCTTGTTACCTACAACCTGTACCATTTTAAGAGGCTTACAGGAACTGAGGTGAGTACCACTATGATACAGCTTGAGGTAAAGGAAGAATGATTAGGAACACAGATTTTATCTTCTTTAGACCCAATCATCATGTCCAAAATTGACCATAAAATCCTCAGAGAAGTTTCTTCCACTCGTCCTGCAGTACCAACTCCCATTCTGTAGATGCACTCACCTCTATGGTTCGGTAATAAGGGTCTAGTAGGAGCTTAGACAATGCCACGATCTGGGGGGTTCGGTCCCAGCCATCTGAACAATGCACTAACACTGGCCGCTGATCACGATTCACAGCATGCACCACCAGAAGTGCTGATTTCAGAAGCACAGAGAGATGATGGAGCCATTTTGTACTTTCAAGAGCTGAAAGCCAACTATAAAAAACAAATAAATAAGTAAATCCTGGGTTTTTAAAATGATTTATTGCATTTTATTCAACAGCTGTCAAATTAAAAAGTAATTCCCTCAAATTTTCCTCTCCAAATATAGTGCTACCAAAAGAACAGAAAATCTCCATTTACAAAGCTGGGCATGGTGGCGCACTCCTGTAATCCCAGCACCTGGGAGGCTGAAGCAGGAGGATCACTTCAAGTCTGAGGCCAGCCTGGGCTACACAGTAAGTTCAAGGCCAGCTTGAACTACATAGCAACACTCTGTCTTATAAAAAAAAAAAAAAAAAATTTAAAAAGTAACAATTAATGTGACCACTTTTGGTTCTAACATCTTAATGGATAATTTCCCAGGGAGGATTAATATTTAATATTTTTCAGTCCATGGTAGGCAGGTATACACAGTACAAGAAAAGTAGCCTTTTCTGGAATCTTCTGAGAGCCACATCTGAGATATAAAACAGAAGATGGGGGGATCGAACTCAAGACCTTGAGCTTATTAGGCAGGCAGTAGCCCCACTGAGCTAATTCCCCGGCTCTAAAAAAGAAGATATTTAACAACCAGCAATAAGTTCTCAAAAAAAAAAAAAAAGGTTAGGAAAACTTTAATAAGCTGGACGTCACATGCAACAATGGCAGAAACATCACCATTACCCATACCCTAACACCTACCACTGTTCAAAGGTCTTGAAGATGTATTGACTAAAACCGGATGGGTCCAATGAGAAGAAATGGGACTCATGTAAATTAGTACAGTGATGGGCACAAAGTAATGTAGCAGAACCCAGACTGGATTGAGCAAGGATCTAGGGGAATTTTTTTCAAAGGCCTTTCTGAACATCAGATAATAAGAACTGCTGTTTGGAAATAATCACAAGCAGACACACTGGGTTTCTTTTCAACTGTGTTGTTATTTTGCTTCTTGTACTTCTCCTTGCCCTTATTTCCCAAAAATGAGTTGTGATTTTTTTTTTTCCCAAATCCAGTCAGGTGTGTAGTTAAGACCACAAATCTAGCCCTTCAAACACTGATTTAGAAGAAGGAATTAATACTTCTCTCAGGGTTTCCGAGGCTTTGCCAAGACTACTGGACAAAGCGATAAATCTATTAAACCTTGAGGGAATGACTGTGAATTTTTGAAAGAGTCTAAGGGGGATGTCTTCCCAGTCAGGCAAGCAGGCAAGAGAACATGGTGCATAATCACTGGTTTCATACAGATTAGTCTGGTACACTAACCAGCCTGTCTTCTCAAGAGGCCTGACACTACGTCTCTGCTCTCCACACCCCTGAACAAGAAGTCCCACTGTTTAGTGAATTTGAAATCTGTGTAAAAGACTCTCTATCTCTTAGTAGGTACCCAAGAAATGTTTTCCTGATGGGTCAATAGTTTATTCTCATCCCTCACAGTTTTGAAAGAAACCAAAAGACAAGGCTTAAGAGCAAAACTTATCTCCCCTGACCCTCCTCCAAACAGAATGGGGAAATAATGAACAAGAGAACCAATGCATGGTTCTCTTGAACTTGACTGAAATACCAGTTGGTGTCATCCATGACTAAGAGAGAAATATGCCAGCTGAAGAGATGCTGGGAGCTACATCCTTATGTTACTTTTAAACTAGAGCAGAAGCACATTATCCCTTCTAGCCCTCTACAGCCCAAAATAGATATGAAGGGGAGTACTTGTACTTCCTGCATTTGCAGCCATCCCCACCACTGCTACAGCTTCTTTTTATCCACAAGGTAGACTTTCATATTGCATTATGATCTGCTGCGAATACAAAGCATAACCTTCTTCTTTAACAAAGCCCCCCAGACATTCATTTGGGCCAGGTGAGGGCTAATTTACATACTTTTTGACTCTTGAGTTTAAAAAATAGCTTTTGCCGGGCGTGGTGGTGCACACCTGTAATCCCAGCACTTGGGAGGCTGAGGCAGGAGGATCACTGCGAGTTCAAGACCAGCCTGGGCTACACAGTGAGTTCCAGAGCAGTCTGAACTACATAGTGAGACCCTATCTCAAAAGAATAAACAAACAAACAAACAAACAAACAAATAGCTTTTATTTTTAAATAAATAGATTTTATTTACTGAACTCGGGTCCTTGAGCTTGCAAGGCAGGTGGCAGTGCCAGAACTAAATTCCGAGCCTTTATTTATTTGTTTGTTTGTTTGTTTATTTGAGACAGGGTCTCACTGCGCAGTTCAGGCTGGCCTCAAACTCACAGTAATCCTGCCTCGGCCTCCCAAATGCTAGGACTACAGGTAGATGCTACCACATCCAGCAAAAAACAGCTTTTAGACAAATTTTAGTAAACAGAAGATAATAAGAGATGTAGTGTTGATCCTTTTTATTTTACAAACAGAAAAACTGGGACCCACAGTAATTAAGCCACTTGACCAAGGTCACACAGGTTTTTAGCAGGTTTACTGGGTCCTAAACCAGCCTCTTTCTATGCTCCACCTTAAGAAAGAGGGTGCTGCTCACTGGGCCCTGGAATTGCATATTACATGCAAACAGCTAATCCCAAAGGAAAGTAGTAAACTCATTTCTTGGTCAGGCTCTCTCTCAAAGGATACTGCTTCACCCTCAGGGCTGATTGCAACTGTAATGAATTTTATCATTTGCAGCAAAGAGTCAGTACAAATGGATCAGGCAAACCTTGATAATAAACCCAATAAAGAAATGCAGCAAAACTTGAAATGGCTGTGATTATCTGCTGTACCGCACCCAAGAAAATAACTACAAGCTTCAGTACAAACACAAGAAAAAATAAAAGTCTTGTCTTCTCTGGCACTATCTCAGATTTCCCAAAATAGTAAAACAGGGGCTTTTAAATGTTTATCTGTCTATATCTGCTTTACAGAGCAATTCTCCTAACTTATCTTGTATTGCAACAGTATCCTTGAAGGGGGTATTACTTCACTTCCCTTATTAAATGCCAACCATTCATTTTTAATAATCAATAAAAATTATGATAATGTTCTTGGTAAATAAGAGACTGAGAAATTGGAATTAGATGTAAAAAAAACTAATGACAACTTTTAACCCTTTTAAAATAGGAGTAAATTGTGAATTCATGGTAAAACACCTCAGTGTTCATAGTAGGCAAATGTAGAAGCCAAAGAATTAAATTTCTTTGGGTTGAAAACAACGTGGTAGAAAATGAAGAAGTCTCAAGAAAAAACAAGAAAACAGTGCTTCTGTTTTCAAAAGTGATAAGATTTGTTCTGCACTGCACATTTTAAAACATTTCAGAGGACTGGATTGTTCTCCTGGCTCTGGATCCAGAAAGATGATCTGCAGAAACTGCAAGTATAACTGAAGGTCATCCCAAAACAGAAGATACCTCCAAACTCATTTAAAAAAAAAAAGAGCAATGTAAAATTAAAGCCAAGGCCAAGGTCTTACTTTCCCGGATCTGGCATCTGTGTACACAGCAACCGCAGAGACTGAAAACTCCTCCGAATAGAATGAATGTTTGCCATTCCCATAAACACAACTTCACAGTTTGGGTAATACTCTGGAGAAAATAACAATAAAGAGAACACAAATATGTTGAATTTAAAGCCCACACAGACAAATTTAAAAGAAGCAAAATGGCTATAAAGCAAACCTATTGCAGTTGCTGACTAATGAAACTGCAATGTTGTGATGGTTGACTATTATCCCAGTGCTTTATTCTAAGAGGAAAACAGTCCTTGAATTTTAGCCATCTTGGGGTGAAAAGGAAGGTTAGATCTATAAAGGTAAACACACAAAATAAAAGCTGTCATTTTTAAAAAGAAAAAGGGCCGGGGATTTAGCTCAGTGGTGCCACTGCCTGCCTCGCAAACACAAGGTCCTGAGTTTGATCTCCAGTACCAAAAAAATAAAATAAAAATAAATAAATAAAATAAAAAGGCCTGTAAACTTCCATTTGACTACAGGTTTACTTCCTGGGCCTCATCCAACTTGTGATTCTGGAACTGCTTTGAAAAGAATTTGGCAGAACAATGTCTTCAGGCATTCAAATTTCACCTTGGTACAGCTGCTTTCAATTTCTAGCTTAGATTAAATTTGAAGAAAGACATATGTGCCTCTATCTGCACTATCAGCACACCACTGTCACAGAGGGAGTCTGGTCTTGGGAAAGCCAGTACACAGGGGCATTACAGGTTAGGACTGGGGCATCTTATTGGAATTCTGTATTTACTGCTTTGATTATCATCACACCAGGTTTTCTAAGAAGCCCTGCTAGGAGGCCAGAGATGAACATACCCACTGTCAAAGGCAACAAAAACCTTTCAGAAGACTGAGAAATTGAGCCACTAAAGCAGCATCATGGAAGAAGATTTGCATTCCTTATCACCTAAAGGCTGGCAGAAGGAAGAAGGATTTGGCTTCACTGTACCACCTCCTCCATTTCTGACTGAAAAAGAACACACACTATTAAGAATCCTGGCTCTCTTAAGACGGTGAAGAATATGGTTTGTCATTCATTTCAAATTGAGGGTAAGTCCAGGTTGAGAATGGGATGGACTCACAAGGAGGGTATTGGAGGGTAAAGCACCAAACATCTCACCTGGGCATTCACAGCCGCCTCCTTTGGCTCTGTTTGCTACAGCCGCTGCATAGGAGCGTGCATCCAAGATCAAAAGTTTCTGTGGTTGAGTAGCTAAGCTCTCTGCTCCTGAAGCATTCGACAGAGAAGAATCTAGGGATATCAGGAAAGGGATAAAAACTAAATGAGCCTGTCCCCCGAGAACTGTGAAAATTAGAACCAGAAGGTCATTACAGTGTTGTCACCCCCACCCCACCCCCACCCCGCTGCAAAAACACTCAAGTAAAAATCCCTAGCCAAGGGCAGAGAATTTAGCTCAGTGGTGCCACCACCTGCCTCACAAGCACAAGGACCCGAGTTCAATCCCTGGTACCACAAAAAAAAAAAAAAAAAATCCTTAACCAGATCATTAATATGCAGGGCTTCTATTTTCTTCTCTGCCTTATTAAAAGCTTCTGAGAATGTCTTTTCCAAAACCAACTCCTGCATGTCATTTCTCTGCTTGTAGTCCTTTCACCAAGCCTGATATCTCCTTCCATGCACTGCAGACAATTCAAGTCCCCACCAAATATGTACTCTATTATTGTCACATTGGTGAAGAAGAAAAATACTCTAAGCTCTTAAATCAAGTTTGAAAACAAAGGGCCTTCTAGTTCTTTGCCAAGAGCCATGACTTCTCAAACCCATCAAATTCTCTCTCTTCTATAAAATGACTTACGTTTTCTAAGGAAAAGGCCATTTCAAGAAAAAGTCCTCAGATGCTATAATGACTAATGCCACGGATCCAGGGAGCACCTTACCAAACTCCACATCAGAGAGGTCTCCACTGGGAAAGTCTCGAGAACTGTTTCTAGCTGACAGTTTGCTGCCACTAGATCGGGAGTCAGAAGCACATGCTTTGGCTACTGACTGTACCAGGTGCTCATCATCTGCATTTCGCCAGCCCCACCAGCTGACCTCTGGCTGTCCACAGCGGGCAATAACAGCTCCATTGTTCTGGTGTCTGGAACAAGAGACAACAACTGCATCACTCAAGGGGCTCTAATTCAGATGTTCTATACTCATACAAAAAAGTAGTAGATTTTAAAGCACCTTAATGAACAGCCTGGCTCCAAAATATTTTTAGCGTCAAGTCCTCTCTCTGCATTAAAGGCGGCAATAATCTTATATACCAACAGTAGCAACAAATGCTATATGCATCTTCCTCAATTATCCTACCATCAGAGAGGCCTCCGTAATGTTACCAGCAAGATGATAAATGCATACTCTTAGACAAAACAAGTTAATATTTATATTTTAACTATTTGAATAACGTGGAGATTAAGATAAAAAACCAACAAATACCACACTAATTTCATTACCCAATAATGAAGGATTAATTCCCTTTTCTGGCACAGAACCTAAATAATGTGGCACAAAAGATACAGAAAAATGTATCATCTCACTGACTTATGATTCCAACAATGGTATACTCTTGCCTGGCTTGAGGATTCTTTTTACACAGATCCCACTGCTGGGATGGAAACATTTCCTGGCCCACGGTAGATTGCTTTACAAAATCTCCTGAGATTTCATGAGTCACAAACTGCTATTATACGCAGATAGTTCAAAGAGCTGCAACTATCTTTCCTCAGGCTCTTGAAAGGAAAAAAACAGCAATCTTAGCCACCATTCTGAGAGACTCTTTTTCAAGAGCAGAAATCATACTTGTAGTCTACCTTCAAGGTGTTATTAAAACCCCAAGTGTTTCCTAATTAGGTGATTATAAGCAATTTCAAAATTAGAAAAATTATTTAGCAAAAGGAATGAAGTTCTGATACATGCCACAACACTGATGAATGCTGAACATGTTACACTAAACAGATCAGTCACAAAAGGCCACGTATTGTATGGTTTCATTTACGTGAACAGTTCAGAATAGGCAAATCTACAGAGACAGAAAGTAGACTGGTATAAAATCCCAATGATGAATGTAACTATTGTATACCTAAAATGTACCAATTAAAAAAAAAAAAAAGAAAAAGTAGATTACAGGTTACTGGTTACCTGGGGCTAGGAAGACTGGTAAGAAGTTGTGAGGAGGGACTGCTACTGGATATGGGATTTCTTTTTTAGATAATGAAAATGTACTAAAATTGATTATAGTGATGGCTGCACAACTCTGAATACAGTACACTAAAAAGCCCTGAACTATATACTTAAAAGGGGTAAATTATACATGGCATATCTCAATAAGGCTTTTTTAAAGCTATAAAAGTAATAAGTTCACTACAAACATTATAAAAACATGGGTAAATGTCCCTCAACTCCGTATGTCCGAAGAAAATGTTTGTGTTCCTTTCCTTTAAAATTGTTTTAAAATACACCAATGAACAAAGATTATAGTTTAAATAAAAAATACTACTGAATCTATGTCTTCTTCATGGAACAATGTGAGAGACTTGTATGTATGTATGTATGTACTGATACCAGGGATCGAACTCAGGCCCCTGTGCTTTTGAGGCAGGTGGCAGAACCACCGAGCTGCATCCCTAGCCCAAGACATGTTTTTAATCCTAAAGTTCAGAAGCAATAAATTAAATATGGCAATAATCAAATCCCACTGGACAATCTGTCTGTAATTCTTAAATCCTCCCTCACTTGGAGAGACAAGTAGCTCTATGTACTTATATACTGCCAACAGGTTCAAGTGGCTCACAAGCTGCATGAGGACAATATGGACATAAAATCTCACTGATTCTTAATATGCCTACTTGCAAGTAACAGGTACTATGTAACCACTGTGCTGAATGAAACACTGCAAGTCTTCCCAGAAAAAGCAGGCGGGTCTTTTCTCAATCATCTTCTTCCCCCTGTAGAGCTTCCCAGCACTGCTTAACAAGAACAGTAGATGGCACTCTTTAGCTTGGGTCTTGGGTTTTAAAGACCAACTTGCCTTTGTAATGTAATACTTAGGTTTCAATTGAACTCCTCTAAATTAAACTTCATGAAACATAAGCACTAGTCAAAATCACTAAACAGCATTTCTATCATTTTAACAGGAGAATTAGTAAGTAAAAAACTTAAGATCTTTGCCCAAAGGATAAGCTCACTTACTAAGACAAAGAATGCTTTTAATAACCCCTACCTTAGAAAGTAGGCGCACTCCTTGTGTGACTAGGAATTTCTAACAATCACCATATAAGCAAAGGGGGTTGCTGCAAAGTGCACTACAGATGGGTGCCATTCTCACCATCTTGCCATGTTAGAGAAATCTGTTCTCAATTATAAATCCAATTAAATGTTCTCTCATCACAGTGGGAGAAAGCCCTGCTCAGGCGCTGGTTCAGCATGGTGCTGTCAAATAACCGCTACTAGCAACCTCAGGAATCATTAATGCAGTGTAGTCAACTAAACTCAGTAAATTAATGTCAGCTTCAGAGGTATCTGCCACCTAGGCTGGCAAAGCAGAGAGTGAGGTGTTCAAAACATTCTTCAACATACCCCTCACAAGACTCATAAATACACAGCAACCCAGGCTGTAGCTCAGAAATAAAGACACTTGTTCTGAATCAGAGAGCAGTTCCAGGAAGCCTATTCTATGTAAGTACATGAACTATAACAAGAATCTTCATTTTCTGGAAAAATTTGTAAATAAAAATGCTTTATGTATATGCTCTAGAATCTCTACAAGAAGAAAAACGCTTAGGGCTAATGCTCTCTAAAATAAATTTAAGGGAAAGAAAGGACATTTCATGTGTTTCAACTAGCACACTTAGGCTTTTCTGCCAAAAAGGAGAATTTGCCAAAAGCCTCTTACTTGGAAAATGAGAGAATCTCTCCACACAGTCCTGCCCGTATGCTCAAAGCCTTCAAGAACAACAAATACCAGGCTGCTGAGCTAACACAGCTGTGGGCCAGAATAGCAGCTGGCCACCTTTCTGATTCTACTGGGGCTAATCATTGATAAGACTCATAAATCTCATTAGCTTTCACTGCTAATTCCTGTGTCATCCTTACCACTTGAGTGACAGGTAAATTTGGTGACCTACTTTACTAGGAGTGTCTGAAAATAAGAGTGATGAAAACTGAAACTGAAAACTTAATGGGTTCCACTGGACCAGAGCAAATTTCTTCACATGTCTTGTGACTCAAAGTGGGAATCAGAATTTGCCTTCAGTTGACTAAATGAAGAAACTAGTTCTCTAATCCCTTCCGACAAACGCAATATTTCAGGGAACTGCATCCTGACATCAAAGAATTCTAACCAAGTCATTGTTTTCAGCCAATTCAAAGAGAATCTAGAAAGTCTGCACATTAGAAAAATGAAGAATAGGGCCAGGGATTTAGCTCAGCGGTTTGGTGGCCTGCCTTGCAAGCAAGCGTAAGGACCCGAGTTCGATCCCCAGTGCCAAAAAAAAAAAAAAAGAAGAAGAATATTAACATTACAAGGTGATAATAGTAACATCCTAAAAATTTAATATGATTCTGTAAGAACTGAGATAATGCCTGATACAAACAATCCTCAGGGATATGACCCCAAACAATGTCAGTAGGCCCTCATTCAGATGTCACCGCACATCTGCAAAGTAAGAACTCTGGTTCCCATTCTATTCAAGAATAGGACTGGGATGTTGGGAAATACACTCCATGTGTCACAGCAAGGTGTGTCAGAACAGACTTTAGGTTTGTGGCTCCAAAACGTGTGCTCCCCTACTCTACCAACCCCTCCTAAAACTTGCATCCCTTGACATTTGTGCCTCAGAAATCTCTGGAATTTTTTACTCAGCCCAGCCCTCGCCTTTTTCTTTAAATGTCCCTCTTAAAAATGAGTTTTCCAACATGTCTAAAGGTCAACCACAAAGACAATCACACACAATTCAACTGTATTCCCCCAGTTCTCACATTCTAGGACTCCTCTCTCTCTCAATGCAAAGGCCTTGACAACACATGAAACTAAATGCAGTAAGCACATATCTTCTCACAGAATGAATGTAAGAAGGATCTTGAAATTGCAAGTCCAGCCACATCAGTGTCAACTGAACCATCAATGAGTATTCTGGATACGGTAAGTACCAATGTGTACCAGAAGAGCAGCTCTGGGAATTCCTGAGGGAAGTGCTGACTTGCCTGGGAAGTTCTTTGAACCCTCCATCTCCCCAGGTTAGCAGTAGCAGACCACATGCAGTGAACAGCAGTTGCAGGAGCACAGCTGATTAAGCTTAACTTACCTGTAGACAACAGCAGGGATGCGCTTCCATGACCTGAAGCTTGCTACACTTTCTAATTCTTTGTCAGTGATCCAGGCAGGCACTATGAGCTCTTGTGGATAGCTACCACATAACCTAATATAGGGAAAACGAGAATGGGGGAAAGGGAAAAAAGAAAGTAAAGAGGTGAGGGAGAAGAGGGAAGAAAAAGGAGAGAAGAGAGAGACACTAGGTGAGCCAGCATAGGGATACTGATTGTACTATCACAAAACCAGTTGAAAAGCAATGGGGCTATGGAGGTAGCTCCGCTGGTAGGGTATTTGTCTAGCATGTGGGAGACCCTAGTTAATCCTCAGCACTGCAAATCAACAAAAAAGGCAATGGGAAGCATTATTTGAGTTTTACTCTCAAAAACAGAATGGGTTGCTGAAAGTATTTTAGGTCTCCATTCTATCTCCAAGTGATATGATCTCTTGGATTGTTCTACTTTATGTTGCCTTTTGGGAATCTGGCAAACTGCCTTAAAAAAAAGGGGGAACAAGGGACATTTTCTCTTTATTTTCCATGGCAACTCTGTTATAACAAATATATAGGTCATTTCTAACTACATGAGTACCCAGTACAATTACAGAAACAAAAACCTATGTTACCCCATCAGACCCCTATTCTTCTAGGCTTTTGCTGAAGGAAAACATGTAAAGGACAAAAACTCACAATTTCAAGTTTCCAGATACCTCTTAAGTCATTCTTTGATCTGAACCAAATATGTTGTCCTAATTATAGGTAAACAGAGCAGTCTGAGTATACAGAAGCAATACCACATGCTTGACTGTGTGCATACATGATCATTGTACGACTGAGCCAAGTAAGGTGAATAAGCTATTAATTATAATTTCTAAGCCGGGCGTGGTGGCGCACGCCTGTAATCGCAGCACTTGGGACTGAGGCAGGAGGATCACTGTGAGTTCGAGACCAGCCTGGGCTACACAGTGAGACCCTGTCTCAAAAAAAAAAAAAAAAAAAAAATTGTAATTTCTATAAAATGTACAGAACTACACTTGGAGAAGCTCTCTTTTCTTTAGTGAAGACACTGGCTGCATGCTAGTCAAGTTGGTGACCTGGGAACCTGTACTTCTGACTTTTTATTTATAGAATAATCTCTCTATGGGTAACTTTATCTTCCTTTTTAATAATGAAGCACTGGGGCCTTTAAGCCAAATTCAAAAACAAACTCAATCACCCCTACACCACTACCACCCTCTGCCCTACTCTATCGTATGCATTAGACAGGAACAGGCACAAAAACACAAAGAAGCCAGGTGTGGTGGTGCACACTTGTACTCCCAACATTAGGGAGGCTAAGGCAGGAGGTTCACCATGAGTTAAAGGCTAGCCTAGGCTACACAGTGAGTTCAAGGCCACCTGAGCGAATAGTGAGAGCCTGTCTCAAAAACAAACAACAGAAACACCAAACCACCACATCTTGGCTTAGGAATTGGAGGCTGTAATTACACTGTACCAACTTTCTCTCTGTCCTCCATTTCCAGAAGATGAAGTATTAGGAATTTAAAAAGCACTGATACAGAAGAATGGCTATGACTGAGAGAAGTTATATAAACTTCCTAACACCTATCCACAAACTCCTAAAAATAACCCAGGACACAGTGATCATGGCTAAAACTGTAAGCTTGAGTCTCAATCCTTTCATTTTGTTTTTTAACTCGAGTAAATTTGAATCTCATTTTTCTTTTGTAGTAGGAAAAACTCTTGAATGCCCAAGACTGGTTTTGAAATAGAACTAGTCAACTCCAAAGCAGTAAGTTATTTTTAAATTTCATATTAATCAGGGCTCTTTTTTAAAAGCAAGGTTTGCTTAATTCAGTCTTTTTACTCCTCCAATTTTCTGAATATCTTCACTCTTCCATAGGTACTGCACTACTCCAAGTAGCCCTCTGCAAGAATCAACTGTACACTTGTGGATAAGCAGTAGCCAGTGGAGCAAAAGTGGCCAGCACTCAGCAAAGCACATGGTAGCCTCAGGCTCTCTGAAGCCTCTCCATCCTCCAATCTTCACCCTCCTCCTTTGCTTTAACCTGTCACCAAGAACAAGGAGTTAGGTCTGCATATCCTAACTCCTTACAACACCCCAGGCTCTTAACTTCCATGATAAGTGCTGCTGCATACAGTAATAAGCTGTAGCTTTTCCAATAAAAACGAAATCTTCTGATGGCCCACCATAAACAGACCAGGAAAACTGCTATAATTTGAGACAGCTCATGAGACAAAGAATGAACAGTGCTGCAAGGAAACTTAAGGATATATTAATTTAAATCTCGTGGACAATTTTGTTTTATGAAACTTGGATCACCAAAATCATGGTAGTTAACTGCCCCTGCCCACCCCGCCGCCAAATCACGTACATGTTTTAAGCAAACAGGTGATGCTAAGTATTTAATAATGGTTGTAATAGTATTGAATGGTTATACAATCTTAACTATGAAGTTAGTTTTAGATCAACATATTGAACATACTGAAATATGTATGTCTATTTCAAAGGATCTGGAGCAAAATGAGTCATAAAAACTAGCTTCTACGTGTTTTGTCACTTCGTATAAGATCACTAATCTTATCACACTAATGTGCTGACAAATAGTAATGAGAATAATGGAAACTGCCTGCCTATAGGTAAATACAGTATTATCCAGTCATGCATGTACCAGGAAGAACAGAGGCCAGGAGGTGGGTAGAAAGGAAGGCTCTGAGATCCTGTTAAGGATCATTTTCTACTCCTGCAACAGAAAGTTCAAGAAGTACTCTGAAGATCATACACTTAGACCTAATAAGTAAAACAATTTCAAAGACAAAGTCTAGGTTCAAACGTTCTACCACATGAGAAATGGTGTTTCTGTAAAGGCACTGGCTATGAAACACAGTCTACAGGGAACCATATAACTCACTTGTATTTCTCGTTGATGTTGGAAATCCTCCAGGCATTGTTCATATCAAAACCCATCCGCTCCACTTCATTCTTAAACCTTGACGTTACATGCTCTCCTAGGGACCAGAGACAGAAAGGAAAAAATGAACACAGAACAGATGGAATAAAAGCTCCATTATATTGAAAATTCTTAAAAAGGCAGGAATTGTATAAATAATATGTAGTTAGTCCTGGCAGACTAAAACTAAAGAGGGGGAAAAAACCAACTTTTCATTAAGAACTATGTTATCTCATCTAACCTCTACTTTCACTGAACTTCTTTTACAGACAACAAAACAGTTGGAGAAAGGTTATCATGGCCTATTTTTCTGCTCCCCAAACTCATGCTCTTTCTTATCACTACACTGGATAATTTACTACGTCTACACTCAGACCAAAGGTATGCGTGTGAAGAAATAAAAATTAACAAGATCATCAAGAGTAGTAATGTGGATTTATTAATTCATCTGAAAATTTCTGGGTCAGATTTCAGAACTTGAGAGATTTTTGGATCTTAGGAAGGTAAAATGATGTACATACTATATTAGCTCACAAACTTAACAGGGGCTACTAAATAAGTGTTGATTCTTCTTCAGTGAAATACAAGTGGGATAAATACAACAACAAATACCTGTCAGTTCAGATGATATTAAGCTGCCAAATATGGTAAGAAAAGCTTTTAGGATTTTCAGAACCTTTTATATTATGAACTACAGATTAAGTGGTCATGGAAACGTAACTGCCAGTGCCTATGACTATCAGGAAATCCAAACTAAGTAAAGTCCTAAGCATCTGTAAGAACATCCACCCAAGTAGATACAATCTGGCTACATCTGGCTGATGGATTTGGCTAAACCTAATTAAATATCAGAAAATCTAAATTACTTTCTTCCTTAAAAATGGTACATACCCAGTCCTAGGCAGTAATTTTATTAAAACAAAAACATTAAGCAGACCTTGTGTTACAGCTTATAAAATAAATGCTGGTGGGGGCTGAAAGAAACCACCACAACAAATAAAAGCACAAAACAGACTGCTTTGGTGATCAAAATACAAAGCTATAGAATAAGAAACAGCAATTACTTGAATGAAGAATAATTCTGTAAAACTACTTCCCATTTAAACTGCTTTTCTTGAGCTTAAGCTAGTAGGTATGATATATTTCCTGAAAGACAGCTATAAAAAAATGGAGTTCAGAGATATAAGAAAAAATAACTGATTCTGCCCATTTGGAAAAAAATTATGGATGCATGGATTCCAAAGAGGAAAAAGGTAGATGAATTAGAATGTCCTCTGTCTACAAACTTTCAGGAATACTGACCATCAAGAACACAAAATGTGGGCAGGGGGTTTAGCTCAGCGGTTCTGCCACCTTGCCTTGCAAACTCAAGATCCCAAGTTTGACCTCCTGTACCAAAAAAAAAAAAAGGAATACAAAACAGAAAAAAAAAAAAGCGCACTAAAAAACAAAACAAAACAAAACAAAACAAAAAACCACTAAACAGGTAGTTTTTTGCTCAAAATCAAATTCTAAAAGCTGCAAAACTATAGCAACTTCCAAGTTTATTACTGAAAAAGAAAATATTCTTCCCTCCCTATACAGCTTCACAATCACGCAAAAGTACTTCTATTAAAAGTCTTTTACATTTGTAACTATCTTAGAATAAACACATAAATGTTCTAAGAAGGATCTTTGCTTTAAAAATAATGACTGGCAAAATAATAATAATGATACAAACTACAAACGCCACCAGCAGCAACTTACTACACCAAACCAATACGTAAAGGCTTATTAGAACCACCATCGGGAGCACAAAATTCTGAAATACACACTAAGTAGCAGCGTCAGAAAATCTGCTATTTCAAATTCTTTAAGAAGGAGTTTTAATTTTCTTTGTATTCTCTAAAGCAGTGATTTCACCAACTCTGAAACTGGCCATTATGAACTATACGAAGAATTAAACATTCCCTCATAAAATTCATTTATTTCTCAACAGGGATTCACAAAAAAATACCCACTCTTACTGTGATGCCTTCTGATATGTCCTAATTCATTTCTTCAGAATTTTATTTCATGACCCACTAAAAGAGCCACACTTTCAGTTTTAAAACCACAGCTTCAAAAAAAACTGAGCAGCAAATTTCACACACATGGAAACTCAATTTGTGCAAATTGTTTCTGGATGTTCACTTAATGTATTTAGCCCAAAGAGTGAACACAAAATATCCTATTGCTGAATTTCCCTTCCATCTCAGAATTTTTATGTCTCAGGTTATTCAATATTGGATATGTTGCAATATCCCAATTAAATACTGGAGCCACAAGATATTTTTAGCTTTATTATTTCCATTTTGATTCTTCCTGACTGCCTCCTCCACTCCTAAAGTTTTTAACACTTAGCATTTCTTTTTTTATGGGGGGGTAAGGAGAGAGAGGGCTCTGGGAATTGAACCCAGGTCCTTCACATTGAGCTGTATCTTCAGCCCTTTTCTGTTTTCAGACAGGGTCTTGTTAGGTTCTTAAGAACTTGTGATCCTCTGGCTTCGGCCTCTGGGATACAGGTGCACACTACCTAACCTTTAGTGTTTTTCTTCTACTATGATTACATACAGTCCAACAATTTTCCTTTCAGTGGGGATGAAAAGTTTTTTAAAGAAATGAGCTCCAGGGGACCAGGGATTTAGCTCAGTGGCATGGCGCCTGCCTCACAAACCCAAGGTCTGGAGTTTGATCCCTAGTACCAAAACACAAACACACGAAATAAGCTTCCCTTTATCATTAATTACAAAGTCAATCGGTAATCTAAAAACAAAATTGCCCCCCAAAAATCTAGCTTCCTGGCTAATTCTGAGTATTTGAGTCAACTATACAAGTTAGATAAAGGCCTGGAATAGAAGAGACAGACTCATATCCATCAAGATGAGGAAGCAGACCAGAGTCAGAGAAAAGTGAGAGGTACTCCTCCCACATTTTTAAATATGGAGAGAAGAGTAATTCTTTTCTGTGCACACAAGTGCCAGTGAGTCCTGAAGGCTCAAACTTCCTGGACTGTATCCGAGCCTAGATAACATCCAGAGTCAGCCTGTTTGCAGATAAACATGATGTGCTTCAGGAGAAGTAGGCTCAATACTAAACAAACAGCTGAACTGCATGAACCGCCTGGTCTTTGTCAGGACTCCAGACTAACGCACTAGTACACAGCCATTACCCAAAGCCAGCTGTAATGAAGAACCTGGAGTTGAGGAAGTTGAGGGCACAGGCAGAAGCTTAGAGCTTTTGAGTCTGCTCATTTACAACATGAGATGGAGCTGACAGCAGTCAAGAGCCTGGCAAGGCTTTTGCAGTAGGTTTCACCAGTGAACTCCAGTAGCAATGTTGAGACTTCTTGGAAAGCTTACTAAGACCTAGAGCATAGTATTACTGGCTTAACTAAAATTTATATGAATACCAAGGCAATGGTGTAATAGTCCCACTTTCATCTTCTGACAGATTCTACTCTTAACAGGGTACAGGAAAAGAAAACATAAAAGGCTACACCAAATGCTAAAGACTGAACTATTTCTACTCCTCAGAATCTAAGCTTGTGATCTCAGGTAGTAGGGCAGAATATACAAGGCTGTCATTCTGAAATATTTCAACTGTTGTCTCAACCTTCAGATGACTTATAAGAATGTGGTTGTTTGGAATGCTCTAATTTGGTGAGTTATACTGTAGCTATCACTAACAGTCAGCACTACGGGGTTGGAGACAGAAGAGCGGAGGCTCCCTGGCTTTAAAAATGCCACCTCTGTACTCCACAGTGAAAGGGGAAAAGGGATAAAGGGAAAAGCTATACATACATACACATTCAAACAAAGTCACAGAAATACAGTTAAAATTCCATGTGAGTGGAAGGAGGTTACCTTCAGTGTGAACTGTGTATCTTGGGAAGAAACAAAAGGCAACCTTCCATCACAGAGAATTTCCAACCAATCGTTAGAGAATTTCCATCAATGCCACCATAACTGCCAACCAGTTATTTTTCAGTTATATAATTTCTGAAGAGTTTTCATAAGCATGGCACATAAGAGACACTCAAATATTTACTGAACTACACTCTGTACTATGTATCAACCTATTTGATCTTCGAGATATACCTGGTTCAGCTTAGACAGAAAGAACAAAGAACAGTCTGAAGAACAAAGAAAACCAAAGTGCAGAAAGGATAAATGGCTTTCCTTGTATCATTTTCAATTAAACATTAGAGTACAGGTTTGAAGTCCAAGTATCCTTTCCATGTCCCCAGGTATCAGAAGCCCCTGAAAAAGCTGAGTGTAGTGGTACAAGCCTATAATCCCAGCACTTGGGAAGCTGAGGCAGGAAGATCATTTGGAGTTTGAGGTCAGCCTGGGCCAAGTAGTGAGTTCAAGGACAGCCTAAACCATATAGCAAGACCCCGCCCCCCGCAAACAAACAAAGAAGCTGCCCCTGAAAAGATACCGGACATTGTGGCTGCCTCCATTGCTTGATGGCCAAAGAATATCAGATATCATCAGACAGAGCAGGATCTCAGGACCCTCCTCCTCAGGACAAAGCCACCCATAAATAAGAGTAAATCTTTCACATGGTATATCTTAGTAGTTTCCCAAGAGTTGGCTTAAATACAAAAGAAATAATTAAAATTATCAAGAAAATAAAGTCCCTTCAAAAGACAAGGACTTTTCAGGCCACAATTATGTAATAATAGAACAGGAAAAAGCAAGTTTTGTTCACTAAAGGCTGGCAACACAAAATTGGGAAATACTTCTTGGAGTTAGGGGTCTTAAAGTAAATCAGTTCTCATATAACAATGCAGCAAGATGCACTCCTTAAGGATAACGCCTTCATTGTTCTAGGAGATGGTAGAGACTAAAGAATTAATACATAAGATGCAATTAGTAAGAACTCAGCAAATATATAAGATTTGTGTACTTTATTGCTTATATTTGTTATGGCTTGTGTTTAGATGCCCTCCACAAAGCCTCATATGGATGAGGTGGGGTTTTTTCAGAGGTACCTGAATCTGGAATGTGTGATGCTGTGATTAAGGGCCTGTGACTAATAAACCACTACATGTGAGTGACTGGTTTGGCACCAGCCTAATCCCAGTAGTCTGAATAAGATAAAAGGGGCAGAAAGATGCTGGTAAGCTATCTTCCACCACCATAAACTGATGCCCCTCTGCCATGTGCCACCCTGACTTGGAGCCAGTCAATTACGGACTGAAACCTCTACAAACTGTGAGCCAAATAAACTTTGGGTGTCAGGTATTTTGTCTCAGCAATGAGACAAAAGTAATTAAGACAATACTACATCATTTAAAAAAAACAGGAAAGAAAAGGAGAGTAGAACAATAGCTAAGTGAGAGTAAAGTGACAGATGGTTTAAGTACCCTCACATAAATTTTCAAGGCTGGTGTGGGCTCTAGTGGATGAGTCTAGGTTTTACCTACTGGGACAGGCCTGGAAGAAGTTTGGATTCTGAGCCTTTTCTTGAGGATCCACCAGGCCACATGCCTCTGTTCTTCAAGGTCTGTATCCACAGAGCCCCATAGACCTGACTCTCAGTAAGTGAGCGCTGCACTTAAGTCTACTTCTTTTAAGGACTAGCATTGGGCTTTGGCAATAGGCTTTACCCCAAAAGCCTCTATCTGTTTTGTTCCTAAAACAGAAACACCAGCCTATTCTATCTGACGAGCTCATGAAGACCAAACAAAAGTATTTAATCGGATGTTTATGTTCAAAGTATTTTAATTAAACAAAATAATCCAAAGTCAAAAGCTTTAATCAGTGATGAACAAACTGATTATACACATAACTAGGTTAGCTTTAAATGTTTAAGATGACTCAGGGCTGACTTAGAAGATTGAATATTCTAGATTAAAATTACAAATTTAAGGAAAAAATCTGCTGAGGCAGGATGATCAAAAGTTCAAAGCTAGTCTAGGCAGTGCTGTTGAGACCCTGTCTAGAAAAGGGCTAGCAATTTAACTCAGTGGTATAGTGCTTGCTGTTATGTACAAGCTACTGGGTAAAATCTTCAGTAACACACACACACACACACACACACACACACACACACACACACACACACAGTCTCTACAGTAAACTTCATTCAGAGCAAGCTCACAATTTATAAGCCTGACACACTTAGGAGCTAGTGCTGGGCCAGCAAAATTCTATTATTTATGGTAGCATAAAGTTTATATAAAACTATATACAAAGAAAATATAGCTGGAGATTTAGCTAAGTGGTTCCTCCGCCTACCAGGTGCTAGGTCCCAAGTTTGATCCCTGGTACCAAAAAAAGAAAGAAGTAATACAATCTTGGTCAGTCATTTCAGAGGAAGAAAGATACTGAAGCGGACAAAGACAACATAAGGAGCCAGGAAACCTGAATTTCAGTACAGGCTGTGTCTCTACATTTGAAGTTGAGGAAAACACTTGGCCTTTCTAGATCTGTTTCTTCTTCTATGGGCAGAAAAGGGTGATAACAGGTCATCTATGATTTGAAAACAAATGCCATGATAGCAAGAAGCTAGTTTGTATTTTACTATTCTCTGTCAGCATAACTGTGTACTTTTGTCAACGCCACTACTGTCTAATGTTATCAATGCATTCCCATTCAACCTCCAAAATCTACACAAGTCACTTTTAATATAAAGTCTTCACAAATATGTACAAAAAACTCACAGCTCCCTTCCATTCAAAGTTTCACAATAACTATGAACCTTTTCATAATTGCTTTTAGGTCTAGCAGGATGTGATACCAAATCTAGTATTCTTTTCTTCCTCTAGAAATCAGGAAACATGTTCTACTATGTTTAGAAGAATGGACACTCTCCATAAAATATACAATGATTGAATACATAAGGCGCAAGGCATCCCATTTCATATTAGGGGTACCTCCATCTTAGCTTGATAAAAGTTCCCGGTCATCTGCACATTTTAGAAGGCCTACCCGGTCTACACAGGTCTCCATGTTGTTCTTTTTCACTGGCATACACCTCCATGCACCAAGCATGGTATGCAAACGAAAAGAGATCTTCTATTTTAGCAGGTGGTCGAATTGCATTGTTCAGCCTCTTGAGCCAATCTTGACACTGTTCAAATGTTGAGAACTGACACCTTTGCAAAGCGAAACAAATATGAATGTAAGCAGGTAATAGCTGCCTGTGAAATCTAAGAAAAGCCACCATTTTAAGACTGCCTCTTCATAGTGAAGGGGTTAACTACAATGGAGAAAGCATCACAAGCAGTCATTCACATATTCACTACTATTTATAATAAAAATGACCCAACAAGTTTTAGTTAGCAGTGCAAACATCAAAAAGAAGCTCAACATGTAGGAAATCTATTCTTTTAATTTAATGAGACTTTTGAGATTAATGACAATTATTAAAGTAAAACGGCAGCTAATCTTTTTCATGGATGGGATTTCATTCTAGTTCTTCAGTTTTTATGGTTATCCTCAAAAAACGTTTATAAAGTCCTTATTGTTTTGTTGTGACATAGTAGGCCAAGTTAAAAAAGAAACTGCCACAGTATTTTTAGCCAGTTAGGGAATTCTGTGCATGTGTGTGTAATGGGTGCTGTTGTTTTGGCTCTACTGGAGGCCGAACCCAAGATTTTCTCACTGATCTATATCCCTAGCCCCCAATGCACCCCTTTTTTCCTAAAATTTTGAGAGATGGTTGTACTAAGTTGCTAAGTAGCTCAGGCTGGGCTCAAACTTGAGATCCACTTGCCTCAATCTTCTAGTTTGCTAGGATTACAAGTGTGTGCCACCACAACGGCCTCGCTAAAAGAGTAACTTTAGTATTTGTCTATTTAGCAATGAAATAAATCAGCATCTTTGGATCCAAAGAAAGATTATATTGAAAGTTTCAGCTGTGACTACACAGAGAACAAAATAATTCTGATATCAATGGCAATATTCAGTATATACAATTGAGGGGTTAAAATTACTGCAAACTGACCTTTTTGAAGATTTAAGTGCTTTGACTTTTTAAATGTCATATTAAAAACTGAGTAATTAAGCAGGCTTTTTATTTTTATTTTATTTTATTTTTTGGTTTTTTGAGACAGGGTCTCACTATGTAGTTGAGACTGACCTGGAACTCACTGTGTAGCTCAGGCTGGCCTGGAACTCACAGCGATCCTCCTGCCTCAGACTTCCATGTGCTGGGATTACAGGTGTGCGCCACCACGACCAGCAAAGCAGGCTTTTTAAACTGGGAGTGATATCCACTATCAAATATAAGTCAAATCATACTGGCTCAAAAGCAACTTAAACATTTACCTTACAACTAAGATGGTTAGGGCTGGGGATTTAGCTCAGTGGCACCGTGCCTGCCTTGCAAGCCCGAAGTCCTGAGTTCAATCGCCAGTACCCCCGCAAAAAAACTAAGATGGTCACTTAAACCTCTCCCTTGTCTCAATCAATGTGGCTCATGAATATGCCAGCATACAGTATTTATTGGTACATTGAAACAGGTCAAAGGGTCAAAATTTGTAAAATTTAAAAGACATTTTGCAACCACTATAGTTACATCAGATAAAATTCATCAAAAACAACAAACTTATGGAGTAATTTTTTTTTTTTTTTTGGTACTGGGGAATGAACTCTGGACCTCGCACTTGCAAAGCAGGTGGCAGCACCACTGAGCTAAATCCCTGGACTTTATGGAGAAATGTTGATGAGAAGCAAGAAAATTTGCATTTTTTTTTCTTTTGTTGGTACCAGGGATCAAACTCAGGACCTTGTACTTGTGAGGCAGGCGGTGGAACCACTGAGCTAAATCCCTGGCCCTGCATTTTCTTGAAGACCTCCCATAGACTATTAGCTGCAAAAAGAAACTACATAAATTATATAAAAATTAGGTGACATCTTAAATAAGTAATCAAAATTCATCACTGAGGGGGGCCGAGTATTTAGCTCAATGGTTCCAGGGCCTGCATCACAGGTGCAAGGTCCTGAGTTTGATCCCCGGTACAAAAAAAAAAACACAACAACAAAAAACGGTAACAAAATTAATCACTGAGGGACAAGTGGATTGTTTACCTCTGGATGTAATAATACTGTATAATACCCTGAAAAGGACACATCATTATATATACAGTATTCCAGCTAGGAAACCTCAACTTAATCTTGAGGAAATGCTGGACAAATACAAAATGAGAAACAAGTTATATTAAAATAAAAGACAGTATTCTTCAAAATATACCTGTGATAAAAGAGAAAGAGGGCTGGGGATTTAGTTCAGTAGCACTGCACCTGTCTCACAAGCACAAGGTACCCAGGGGATTTAAAAAAAAAGACGGCAGACAATGTTCCACATTAAAGAAGGCTCTCAAGCTAACAGCTAAATGTATTATCTAGCCTAGACTGGACCCTGTGGTGAATGAGGTAGAGGTGGAAGAGAATACCATAAAGGACATCGTGAGTCAACCATCAAAACTGGAACATGGATAGTAGACTGGATAAAGTATCAGTAAAACTAAAGTTGATAATGCTGCCATGGTCATGTACAAAAATAATCTTTAATCTTAGGAGCACATGACATATTTTGGAGTTAAAAGCCATGCTTATGTAAATTATCTTAAATTGTTCAGAGCCCCCCCCAACACACACACATGCAGGAACTCCTGCCTCACGTACGGAAGGGCTCTGCAAATGATAAAGCAAACTGAGGCAAAGTATTAACTATAGTAATGGAATACTAGCATGCTATTTTTATTTTAGCACTTTTTAAAAATTTGATATTTTTAAATAAAAGAGAAGCAGCATCTACCGACATGCAAAATATACTAAAGATAAAATATTTCAGGCACTAACTACTTAGGAAATACTCTGAAGGCTGACCTCAAAAGGTATTTTGCTAAGTTACTGAATCTTGTATCCATTCTTTAAAATATTTTCCACACAAAACAGCCACACAAACATACTACATACCTGATAACTTTGCAGTCTTTGCAAGTCAAGTGAAGCTGAAATATATCTCGACATTCAACACTTTCTATAAGTTGTAACGGAACCTGCAATTAAAAAAGTAAAGTCTCCTTAGTCAAAAAGGCATTGACCTTGCAGTTCTTCAATGTGTCCAACAAGACTGATTAGAAAGCTCTAAAGGGAAAAGAAGCAAATACAACCATAAATTCAGTTAGCTCAGGTACCCAAGTGATTTACTACAGAATGAATTAGGGCCTCCCTTACTCTCTATCAATGGCCTCAAGTTATGACACAATATGAAAACAACAAAAAAGCATCTCCATCTCTGAAAGAGGAGGGGCATACATCTCTCCAGCATCATTTCATAAGCTCACCTCTCAAAGCACCACTTTTAAATGTGATAGCTGGCTAGAATTTGTAATGACACAAAAGACGAAGGGCACTAGAATGATAATCCCACTTTGCTTACAGAAAAGAACTACAGATCTGAGTGCAAAACAAGACTCTACCTGTTGGTTACACCAAATGACAAAGTGAACTTATGGCTTAGCATCAGCAAAGGAGGATCTTTTAAAAGTCTGGAAACCTAAACTTCCAAAGGACTGCAAAGAAAAGATTATGTATGAGACACTAACTGCTGGTCAGGATTTGCTCAGAAAAACAGATCCACGGGTTATCAGGAGGAAGGAAAGGGTCACAAAGCAGTCAAAAACCCTAAATCTAGGTGGGTTTAATCAGCTTCAAAGACCAGATGCCAAATATGGCTTGAGGGTCTGAACAAGCCAGAATGGTTCTATTCCCGCCAATCTGGTCAGCAGACTTTACTAAATACTGGATTATGTACAACAATGGAAAGAACCAGAGAAGGGAGACAGGAGGGAAACCATCTGAAGGGGGTACAAATTCTTAGGCTGACAGGAAGATCTTCCCCCCGCCATCTCTGAAATCTTGATTCAACTTCTGGCTTCAAAGAGCAATTCCCAAACCTTCAAAAGAGCCTAATAAATGATGAAATGGATACTCATCCCTTACCAAGATGGATACAACATATCATGCTCTGCCAAAATGTGGCTCTGGGACTTGCAAATATCATTCCAAGAGTTCTGTTTAGCATGAGGAGGCAGCAGCAATTTCCTCCAAGACAGAAACAAGAGGTTCTGGACAGGGTGGCCCTCTTTCAGCTGTGCCAATTTTGGGAACTGGCTTCCTATATAAAACTCTGCCCCCCACCATGCAGCTGCCACAGTCAACAGAGAATTCTCAAAACGAGGATAAGGGGATCAAAAGAAGCCAGTGCTGAAAGTACGAAACAAACAGAAACTGGGGCAGGGATTAAGGAAGAGAAGAAAGTAAAATAGTATTATTCAGATAAATGGCTGAGAGTTTTGTTTCTTTGTTTTTGTGGTACCAGGGATCGAATTGGGGCCCTTGCACTTTCAAGGCAGGCCGCGGAACTAACTACTGAGCCACATCCCCAGCCCTGGCTTAAGAGTTTTTACCTGAGAGCTAAAGGCTTCTAACTCTGTGTATAATCTATAAAAATGTCTTTGGAATTATAACAGGACTGTAATTAGAAGAAGAAAAAAAGACTAAAAAAATCCTGTTTGTGTTCTGAGAGGAAAAAAAGCTTTAGCCCTCTGTTTTTAAGTTCTCAACCCCAAGACCCAGAGAAAAGCTGCAGCTGATAAGGCTAAAAATTCTTTCAAGACCTGCTGAATTGATGGGGGGGGGAGAAATAAATTATAGAAGAGGAATAGAGAACAGAAATGACAATGATTTGTCCTCAGGCCAGTCCTTTGGGTGCCCTGCAGTAGATTCTCACTGCTTTTTTTTTTTTTTTGGTACCAGGGATGAAATCAGGACTTTGTACTTTCAAAGCAGGCGGCAGCACCACTGAGCTAAATTGCCGGCCTTCATTGCTTTATTTATTTGGTACTGGGGATTGAACTTGGGACCATGCACTCGCGAGGCAGCCCAGCAATTGCTTTATTTTTAAAATGTACTCTTCCTGGCTACCGTCAATTCTACCCCCACTGGCTGCCAGACTAGCAATTGAAAAGTCTGAGTTCTGGTCTCACTTTTCAAAAATTTTACCAATTAAAAATCTGCCTATTTCCTGGCTTCTGTGGGTTAGCCTCCGCCTTCCTATATGCCACCAGTTTGTGCTTTCTGAATCTCAGATGGTCACAATTTAGTAACCTGTATACAGGGCCTGAGAAAAGCCTGGAGGTGAAGAGAAGAGTGTGTTTTATTAATTCACAGTGAGTAGTTGCTCTGCCAGCAGTCACTTGCATCCCAGGTCTCTTTCAACTGCCTTTGGTATCACTAGAAAAGGTGAAAACTACTAGTTCTATTAGCAGCTGTGGGGGGGGGGGGGTCCTCACAAATTCTTTGCTACAAAGAATATGTAAGTTTTATGTCCCTATCCCAGGACCAGAGCCCAAGGGCTCCTGCAAGAACTTCCAGAAAAATAAACATTCCAGCGCATGCAAATTACAATTGTACATCAGTTCACAGACTTAATTCTTTCCGAGATTCTGGTTGCAAAATGAGTTGGACAAGAATCAAATCAAATTTTGCCATTAAGTCCAACACTGAACCTAACCACTGAACTTGGTTTGTTTGGTTCTTGTCCATTTCAGACTGCAACCAGAAGAATCTTGGAAAAAATTAAGTTTGTGAACCAAGGTACCACTGTATCTGCCAACTAAAGTACATTCAACATACAAATTTTCACATCACTTTTCAGAACAAAATGTTGGTTCTACGCATTCAAATCAGACTGAAGATACTAGCAAGTCACCAAAAACAACCGTTAAGTACTCTACTCACAGATGTGGAGAACAGCAGATTTTAATCCTCATGCAGAGACTGTCACAGGCACAGAAGTTTAATTTGTGTAGCAAAAATAGCAATATTTCAAAGACAAACCCAATTTATATCAAACAGGTATCTCTTTTCACTTCTCCATTCTGCCTCCCCTTTAGTACCCCTTCCACAAAATGCCTCTTTTTGTAAAGGCAGAGCTGGCTATACCTTCCCCTCCTTCATACATCTAACCAAAACATAACTAAATTTCTCTAGTTTGTTAGGGCCTGCCCACTGATCTAGCTTTCTCAATTTTTCTCACATATGAAAAAGACCTCTTACTATTTCTGTGACAAGGCATACTCAATTCTCAACCTTAATACTGAAAGATTTAAAGATTAATGCCAGTCCACTTCCCATTTCCTAGTTCAGAAAGGTTAAATAGGTAACCTATAAGCTAACACTAAAGTGTAGGCCAGAATTCATGTTTTCTCTCTAATCTGGGATCCTTCCACCATATATACGGTTTGCCTTTCTTCCTCTAAGATTGTCCTTCTTGTCTATATACTTTGATTTTCTTTATGAAAAAAAAAAAGTGGCTTCTCCACCAGAGAGCATCAGGAGAAAAATAAAATTTAAATCAAGATCCTTGGAGATAATTCCATGTAGAAAAGAAAAAAATCTAAAATTACTTTCAAATCTCCAGCCCATGGATTCAGTGCCTTCTTGAACACATTCCTGCCAGCTTGAACCAATGGTGTTACAAGCATGACTGTCCCAGTGGGTGGTTGTACCACTGGTGGTATAAACAAATCTAACCACCTATCAATTGGCCTTTTTACAAACAAAATAACTATAAATAGAACAAATCTAATTAGTTGCTTGAATTTGAATGATTACTGCCCAAATATAAAAATTAATACCATTCATTCCAATTAAAAATTTTAATAATCAACATTTTACTTCATTAAATTTATTTATATTCATGAATAGTTTATCAGTAATTCTCTAAATTAACATGGAAATCTTACAAATACTCCATTACTAGTGTATATAATATGCATTTACAACTACAATATAAATTAGCTGTATTACAATTTTTTGTACCATTTTAATATTTTCCTTAAGAAACTGTAACAACATTTGCTCTGCCAAATCAATGCCTTTCTTCACATTATTGTAATCAAAGACCCTCTAAGAAGCAATACAAGCTGCCAGATAGGACAATCATGCATGTACTGGTTCAAGCCAGTGGGAACAATCAAATTCAAATCAGAGCCACCTGGCAGTCTGACATAGAAATTATGGCTCTATCATGAACATATCAACTTCATTCTCTATCTTCTAGCTGCCAGGTAATTCTATCTCACTGCCGTGCCTATCCTATTAAAAATTCCACCAAACTCGTGTTTAAACAACGCATCAAACACACTAAATGCTGTTAATCAAGTCTTCAAAAGTTACGTTCCAGGCACCAAAACCATGAGCATCAATCCAAAACAGCAGAACAGCAATTTAAAACTTAATAGACATGCACACATGTTAAAGATCCAAAGCATTGTCACACTGTCACATTACAGATCACTAATATCATATTCTGCTATATTTACCTCCTCAATTCATTCTTGCAATGTGTGCGTGTGCATTATTCTGAAGCTCAAAAAGCAATCACTAATTTTTTTTTTTGGTACCGGAGATCGAACTTGGGACCTTGCACTTGGGAGGAGCTAAATCCCCGGCCCCACAATCACTAATTGTAAGTGACTGAAAAAGTAGTGCTAATCTTGTGTACAAATCTGAAATGAAAATGGCAGTATGAGTAAGAAAGCAGGTAGAAAATCTAAACCTAAAATCTGTAGTGGACTGTGTAATGTCATTAAATCATTTGCTTTAAAAACCAATCAGAGCAGGAAAATTTCATAAAATAAAAACCAACATTCTCCACTGTTCACTTTGGACATATACATGGTATTCCCTATAGTACTTGTTTCAGAAGCTTCCACTGGTACAAGAATGCTAGAAAAATTCCTCCCTCTGGTGCTTAGGAAATAAAAGTGGTTGTTGGCTAGTGGAAAATTCAAGGAAATACTAAGGAAAGGTGTTCCCAGGTACTATTCTTCCACACTTCTTCCCAAAAGGCACTGAAGTATTAGCCTGGAAACAGAAGTTTTAATGTCCTCTTAAACACTAATGTTGGTTTTATAATTGTTATTGTTTAAAACTTGTTCTACAGTTTCTGAAGATCACTATTCAACACTTATGTATAAACTATGAGGCTTCATCATCCCACAAACTATTCTCATCAGAGCTTACTACTAGAACTTTGGTAATAGGGAAGAGACTCATGCAGAGAAGATACACTGTTGATTTTCAAGGTGAACATCTGACACACAAAATCAATTTGTTCCAAGCACAACTGCAACAACCACCTAGAACTCTCATGCTACTTACTGGGACTTCAGAAGCAGTACAGTAAGAAGCAGTCTATTGAATTACACAATAAAAATTGTTTTAAACATTCATAAATTCCACTTGAACACTTGTTTATAAATTATTTAAGCTTCAAGAAACATAGCTGTATATATGTTAAAATATAGTCTGGGAAAAACAATGGGAATAATTCGTATCTTAAATACTACAAATGAACCCCTCTATAAAGGTTCGAAACCTACAGACACAGTTTACTCAATGTGCTGCGAAATTAAAACAAAATACATGGTATCAGGTAGCTTAAAAAAAGTTGATGGTAAGTCATTTTCTAATGTGCTAAATGATGCAAAGTGGAGGATGTCATAACACAGATGGCACACCTGAGCTCTGATGGCTTAAAAGTGTTGGATTTACTTACATATAATAATCTTTATCAGGGGGTCCTCTGAACCTCGTGTATTTTATTGAATATGCTGAAGGAGAAAGAAGGGAGTCCTACTGATTTCCTGTATTTTACCAAAATACCTCTGACAGAGGGAAGGAAGGAAAACGTAAACGGCAACATCAATACCAACTCTCTGGTCTCAATACAGGATCTGATGTAGGAAGAGCCGTCATTTCCTGGAGTAACTCAGACTTTAGGGAACTTAGTACTACATGTATAGAAATTAATGTACTAGTATGGAAAAACATTAGTCTATTGTAATATGAAATGTTTTTAATCACTGCAATGCCAAAACACTTATGCACAATCTCTTCCTCTCCCACCCTGCCCACTCAATGCAAAGCCATTATCTTGGGGTTTTTAAGTGACATATAGGCTCCAAGCTTTAGAAGGTCATAAAGCTAGGAAAAATCACTTTTATGTGAGGAAATGGGTCAAAAAAGAAGAACAGAGGTAAGTTTCCTTAATCATTGTATCTCAATCACAATATGAGACCAACAATTTCAGTAAATAACCTACGTGTACAGATACTGTTGAAGAAACATGATGACACAGGCCTAGTCACATAGAAATACATTGTTTTAATAAATCAACTTTAAATTCAAAAGAGAAAAAATTGTCTAATATCCATTTCAGATCCATATAACTTCAATTAACTTAAGTGGACAGCATGACATCAGGAGACATGCTGGATTCTGAAGACACAAAGATGAATAAGCAAAAAATTACATATCTAGTAAATGTTGGAAAAATGCGTTCAAGATTTAGAAGAAACCATGTGAGTGTAACCATCAGGGAGGGGACTAAGACTGAGCAAAAAAGTTCACAGATGAAATTAGCAAGTGAACCGAGTTTTGATAGATGAAGAGAAGGTCACCTGGGCAGGGCACAAGGTAGAGAATGCAAATGTGAGGTATGGCTAGATGGTATAGGGAGGCTGGTTTTCCTAGTACAAAAGGGGAGAAAAGGGGAAGAAAGAAAACAAAAGCTGGAAGGATCAACGATCACAGTCATAGCCTCGTGTCATGCTAAATAATTTGATCGTTTCTCTGAAGGGCTTCAACATGGTGGAATGACACAATTCTCTCTAACCACGACACTATTCCCAAAGATATCTAAAAACAGTCATGGAACTACTTAGTCAAATACCAAAAGGCTGATAAATAGAGGGTATGGAGCAATGCAGTGATATGAAATTATCATTCTTTTTTTTTTTATACTGGGGATCAAACTTGGGACCTTGCGCTTTCAAAGCAGGTGGTGGAACCACTGAGCCATATATCCCCAGCCCCAAATTATCATTCTTATAATGCAACCTAATTACAATTTCATTGACTACAATCATTTAAACATTGAAAGGACACAAATTAAATCAAGTAGCTCTACTAATCATTATTTCCACAGTAGATGGTATGGAATTTTTGTTGTTGTTGTTTTTGGGGTTTTTTTGGGGGTACCAGGAATGAACTCAGGACCTTGCACTTATGAGGCAGGTGGCAGCACCACTGAGCCTGATACGGAATTTTGGATTGTTGAGATTTTAGTTATCATCCTTTCCTCTCCCATCATGACCACTCAAAGCAAAAAGGACCCTTCCTTTTTTTTTTTTTTTGGTACAGGGGATAGAACTCAGGCCCTTGCACTTGCCAGGTAGATGGCAGAACCACTGAGCCAAATCTCTGGCCCCAAAAGGACCCTTGTGAATACAGTGCTGTAAGATACAAAAGACCAGTACCGCCTCTTTCCTTGATGAATATGGTGTGTATTTTTAGCTAATGGACAGAAACTTGCCATACAGCTATGACAGTAGCCAGAACCTAGAAGTCAGAGGACTTCAGACTAAAACATAACTGGATGTAAAGGCTTAACTACAAACAATAGTAGTAAATAAACGATAAATGTCAAACTACTAAGAAGATGGAAGCCAATGAATTATAAATGAAAGAATGAGACTTGAGGTAGGTAACTTTTGGACTGGTAAAATGAATGAAAATGACAGATTTCAAAGAAGCCCCATATGAACCTCAAACATCCAATCAGATGGAAGAACAGTCCTGAACTCTTATAAGGTAGCATAACACATTTCTCTGCACTAGCACTGTCATACAGTCATAATACTTGCAAGTGAGAAATTATGAAGGTATCTGTTTAGTGGAAGTACATGAACTTTTGAGCCCTTATGGGCTTCATTTAAGACACTGATAGCAGTGCACTAGAAGAACCAGTTCACTGAAAGGACTATAATAAATGAAAAGAGGTAAATGTACCCTTGGAAATTGAGAGCCTTCCTTTTCTTAGTAATATACAGTCCATTATGCAAATATTCATTTTACTTAACATCTGTACTTTTACCACTTAGAAGCCATTAGAGTAACTTCATCCTATAATGAGAGTCTGCGGTAAGCTCAAAGAACATCTCATCATTTGACAGTGAAGTGCAGAAAATTATCTCAACTTAAGCAGTTGGTAACCACCACAGACTGAGGAATAAAAGCTTACTCAGTCTTTGTACTTTTATAAAATTTAACGATACAGCAATATCTAGAACAAATTGTTCAGTATTAAAGACCTCAGCTGACAACTAAGTGATTCATTTTAAATAAAGCATTAAGATTTGCTTACTAACCTAATGTCTTGAGTGTTAAATTAACTGAGAAAAGCAGATCACACAGTGCTTTCACACACAGAATATAACACTCCTCTCCTTGACAACTTTAACAAGTTTTTCAATCTTTTTTCCTCCAGCTACCTAAAGGGAGAAGGATTAGGAATAACTTACATTAACAAGAGACTCCTTGAATTTGATGTGAAGCCTGTAATTAGAAAGGGCAATGATGGCATCCTCAGCACGGCCCACATACTCTGTGCTCTCTCCATGAAGCTCAAGGAAAGGAACCTTCAAAATGAAAAAGAAATCCTTCAGTGTTCTCAAGCAGTAAAGGATCAGGTGAGTGGATGGTAAATCCTTGGTCATGCAAGTTTAAAGAATAAGTTAAATGAGTAAAAAAGTTATATGAGTAAGGCCCCTAAAGGTTTAAAAACATCTAATTCAAATACATCTAGTTATTAAAATTCTGGACCACTAAAGTAATGACAGGATTTCTTCTCAAAAAGTAATTCTCAGAAAATAAGTTTTGCTAAAATGAGAGATATTTTTTTTGGACTTACATTTTTACATGATGCTATAGGAAAAAAATACATTGTTTCAGCATCACTTCAACTCATTAGTTCTGCTACACTACTACTGTGACATAATAAAAAATGTCCTTATTTACCTGAAGATTCTCATCCTCTCGAATCAGCTGCTTCCTGGGAAAGATCTGATTGGCCTGGATGCACTCAAGGCTGTGCCGAGTCTCTTCATCCTGGAAAAACCCAAATCTTTAATTGTAAAACTTCTGGTCATCCATACTGTTTTTCTGTCAGGTCTATTCACATAAACCCAACAGAAATCCAATGACAAAGGTGAACAGGCAGAAAACCTGAAGCAAAAAAACATTTATTTCTAAAGTGTTCCATCCAGTGTATTAGATATTATGTGTGCTCCAACTAGATTAACATACTAGGTACTGCTAAGTGTCCTTCAAAGGCTCCTGTGTTAAAGAGTTGGTTACCAGTTTGTGGCACTACTGGGGAGGTGGTAGGCCTAGCAAGAAGAAGCTGGATTACCAGGAGATTCCCTTAAAGGGGATATTAGGATCTCAGACCCTTTCTCTCTTTGTTTCCTGGCCATCATGAGTTAAGAAGCTTCCTCTGCCACTTTTTCTTTCCATAAAGTACTACTATCCCAAAGGCTCAAAAGCAACAGCTCAACCAACACTGGACTGCAATCTCCAAAACCGCAAAACAAAATAAACCTTTCCTCCTTTTAAATTAGGCATCTGTTACAGGAATGAAAAGTTAACGTGGGTGACTCTAATCTGAGAATACACTGATGCAAAAACTGTCAAGACATTACACCATATCTGTCGGGCACTAATAGGTTGCTAGTACAATTACTCTGAAGAGAAACGGAAATACAATGTTTTTCTCTTTAAATTATAATCTCAAATTCTTATTTTCAAGACGTGTATTCTCAGTTATGTAAGAATAAAGTTAAGGGAGGCTGGGCGTGGTGGCGCATGCCTGTAATCCCAGCACACAGGAGGCTGAGGCAGGAGGACAGCTGTGAGTTCCAGACCAGCCTGGGCTACATAGTTTCAGCCGGGCGTGGTGGTGCACGCCTGTAATCCCAGCACTCAGGAGGAAGGAGGATAGCTGTGAGTTCCAGACCAGCCTGGGCTACATAGTGAGTTCCAGGTCAGTCTCAACTACATAGTGAGACCCTATCTCAAACCGCCGCCCCACCAAAAAAAGAATAAAGTTAAGGGGAGGGTGGAGGGGATGAAGGGAGGGCAGGGGTATGGGGAAAAAATGAGAACCAAGATCTATCATGTAAATGTAAATGATCCCAACAATGAATTTAACTGCACTGTATACTTAAAAAGTGCCAATAAACTCAATTTTTTAAAAAAGAATAAAATAGCTGAGTATGGTACTGCACGCCTGTAATCCCAGCATCTGGAAGGCTGAGGCAGATCACTGTGAGTTCAAGGCCAGCCCAGGCTACATAGTAAGCTTAAGACCAGCCAGAACTACATAGCAAGACTTTATCGCCAATGAATAGAATGAATGAATATTGGAATCTGCTTCAACATAAGGATGTTAGAAAAGTACACAAGAGGGCATAAATAAAACAAGATGTCTATAAATTTATAATTAGTGAAACTAGGTAAACTGAGTGGCAGTTTACTGTATCATTTTGTTCCTTTGGTTATATTTAAATTTTTTATAATAGAAATCGGGGGAAAGGTTTTTAAGTAAGTTTAGGAAATGAATTTCCCTCCAGGTGTGGTGGTGCATGCCTGTAATCTCAGTGTCTGAGGCAGGAGGATCTCTGAGAGTTCAAGGCTAGCTCTGAGCCACATAATGAATTCAAGGCCAGGATGAACTACATAGCAAGATCCTGTCTCCACAAACAAACAAAAATTTCCCAAACTAAAATCATGTGACCCACTATCCCTAGTTTGCTCTTCCTTACATTATAAAATAGGTCCATTTCTGTTAAGCCAATTTCAAAAAAGGAAGCAAAAAATTCTTGTCTCAATTGTACCTGAATTATAATTTGCATAAAAGTTACTATTTTCTTCTTGCTGGGGGAAAAAATACCTGACAACCATAAATTAAAGAGGGAGAGCTTTATTTTGGCTCAGTTTTTAGAGGTTTCAGTCCAAAGTTGGCCCCACGGCAGAGTGGCACGGTAGAGGAGAAATAGTCATGACATGTGAGACAGAAACAGAGGAATGACATGGACCAAGAAAGGGGATGGATGGATGGAGTGAGCTCCGACAGGACTTGAACTCACAGCGATTTTTCTGCCTCAGCCTTCCAAGCGATGGGATTATAGATATGTGCCACCATGCCCCACTTGCCTTTTTTTCACTGTGTTGAAATTTGTTCTAATAGTGCAAAAAGAATTGCCAGGCACAATCAAGGCAGTGGCACCAATTCCTTTAAGAATGAAATGATAAAGCAGGAAAAAACTATACTGAAGTGGGCCAGGGATTTAGCTCAGTGGCACCACACTTGCCTCACAAGCGCTAGGTCCTGAATTTGATCCCCAGTACAAAAAAAAAAGAGAAAGCTATACTGAAGTATCATGATAGTTTCAAGATAAAGCACGTGAGCAACTATATGAATTATATGATGAACTAGCCATTTTTAAAATTAAGTACTATTTTTAACTGAAAGAACAACTAACAAACAAACTATGGACATTCAGACTTGGGTATGTGGCAGAACTTTTCTCCAAATGCCAGGATCAGCTGCAAAAATTAACACTTTGTAAAACCTGCAATTTGCCACCATGAATTTAACAGCTTCCAAATACTTAGGACTCTGTTAAAAAACTAGTGATGATAACATGAAATGTGATTTTTCAAAAAATATATTAATTATATGTTAACATTTATAACATGTTTAAACGTCATGCATGGGCCAGGTACAGTGGCTCAAGCCTGTAATCCTAGCGCTTTGGGAAGCTGAGGCAAGAGGCTCACAAATTCAAGGCCAGCCTGACCAATTTAGCAAACCTACTGAGATCCTGTCTCAAAATTTAAAAGTCACACAAGGATAGACAGACGATATATTCAAAATAGAAGGGCTAATGATATAGTTCAGTAGTAGAAAGTTTACCTAGCATGTTCTAGGCCCTGGATTCAACCCCTAGCCTTTCCCTCCACCCCGCCCCCAAAAGAGTAAGGAAAAAGGGTCAGGGACTTAGCTCAACAGTCCTGTCACCTGCCTTGCAAGTTCAAGGTCACAGGTTCAATCCCCAGAACCAAAAACAGAAGGAGAAGAAAGAAGGAAGAAGGAAGAAGGAAGAAGAAAGAAGAAGAAGAAGAAGAAATAGTAAGGAAAAAAGTGCACGACAAATCAATAGTTTTAATGTACAAAATACCAAAAGGTGACTAACAGTTTCAGGTTCCACACTGCAATTAACTTTTAAGAAACTACCACTAGTCAAATTTTGGTGCAGTATTAAAGAAAAATATAATTATCTGGAAAAACTATTACAATACTCTTTCCTTTTCTCACTTCCTATCTATAGGAGGTTGGATTTTCCTCATATATTTGAAACAAAGAACACATTATAACAGACCGAATGCAAAAGTAGATGAGAATCTGGCTGTCATCTCAGCCAAGCATTAAAGAGATTTGAAAAGTACCCAGGCATGGTGTACAGCCCATTAAACCTTTCACTTAGGTCGAGACAGGAGGACTTGGCTAAACAATGAGTTCAAAATCAGAATGAACTACATACATATAACAAAACCCTGTCTCAAAAAGCAAAACAACAAATAAAAGCAGAAAGAGATTTGAGGCAGGCGGTGGACCCACAGAGCTAAATCCCTGGCCCACAAAGAGATCTGAAAAGCGCAAAGCAATACCATTCTCCATACTATTTTGGATGAGGAAAAACGCTATTTTTCAAATATGCTACTTATGTTTCCATAAAATTGTTTTGTTCCTGTTATTGTCTAAATAAATTAATACATATTTTAGATTTCTCAGCTTTGATTTTTGGGTTGTTTGTTTTGAGACAGGGTCTCACTATGTAGTTCAGACTGACCTGGAACTCACTATGTAGCCCAGGTTGGTTTTGAATTCACAGCGATCCTCCTGCCTCAGCCTCCTGAGTGCTGGGATTACAGGCATGTACCACTACGCCCGGCCAAGTACACTGTAAGTTAATGTTACTTCTCCAGAAATGCTGGAATTGACATGAATGTTAAGAACTACAATGTGATGTACTTGTTCATGCCTATAATCTCAGTACTCAGAAAAGTGAGGCAAAAGGACTGCTTTAAGACAAAGACAAGCCTGATTCCACAGCAAGATCCTCTCTTTAAAAAAAAAGTGTGTGTGTGTGTGTGTGTATGACAATTTCAAAAGCAGAATTTTCAGTTTCTTATACAGCCAAAGCAAATACTGTACTTAAGGAAGTTGGCATATTATTAAAATAGGCTGGTATCATAGTCTGGGGTTCTCTGAAAGTAGTATAATTGTCCAGAGTATACCAAGGTCTGGAAATGGCACCAAACCTATAATCACCAAAATAACTTGGTTAAAAGTGTTGTGTTAGTCTGTAACTATTTTGGTGTTGTTGTTTTTGTTTTTTTGAGACAGGGTCTCACTATGTAGTTGAGACTGACCTGGAACTCACTATGTAGCCCAGGCTGGTCTCGAACTCACAGCGATCCTCCTGCCTCAGCCTCCTGGAGTGCTGGGATTACAGGCAAGCACCACCATGCCCAGCTAGTCTGTGCCATTTTATCTCTTTCCACTCATTTCTGAATAAAGACATGGGGGGGGTCATTTTTTTTAAAGGAATCAATTTTTCTCTTGTAACAGGTACTAGCTTTAAAAAAAAAAAAATCCTATTTTTATTCTTAAGTATTTACAATTTAAAGAGACCTAAAGAGAAAAGGTGTGATGAATCTTGAATTTAAGAAAAATTTTCGCAAACATGGAAGATAGGAAATGCTATAAAACATTGGGAGGGGCTTTAAAAATTCTTAAGAACTGCGTAAGTACACTTTAAACATACCTTCTCAGCAACACATTAACTAGCTTTTAAACTCACATCAACGTATGAGGCCTAAACTTTTACTGTGTTTAAGATCATCTTATAGGGCTGGGAATTTAGCTCAGTGGTTCCGCCACCTGCCTTGCAAGCACAAGGTCCCAAGTTCAATCCTGGTACCTAAAAAAAAAAAAAAAAAAAAAAAAAAAAAGATCATCTTATAGAAGTGTTCATTAGTTCTCTAAGTGATTCTCTGACCCGGTTTTGTGTTAGGTCAGAATTGAAACGAACAGTTCAGAACTGAAATATTCTAGCAGACGGGCATGGAGGGTGAGAGGGAAGAGAGAAGGGGAAAGGGAAAGCAGAGGGAGGGAAGAAGGGAGAAAGGGAAGGGGGAGAGGGGAGGGGAAAATGAGAGAAGCCATTTATTTACCTATTCATGCTTGATGGAATGTAATCCTGTCCAATGTATACATTACAAAGTAACTACTGAAAAGTGAAAATGGAATGAATGGTTTTCAACATAAGAACTAAGAAGTAGACCAGCAAGAGCATGAAATACTTCTTTATAATCTAACCAAATACATATTCTTTTAAAAGATGTTATCTTAGCTCATGTTACCTGTAAAGCTTCAAAAAATATTTTCCCCTCGTGCATAAAAGTGAACTTAATTCCCAAAGATTAACATTAAGACTAACTACACACAGACTTCATAGAAGGGTGACTGAAAAAATAATATTTGACTAAGGAGCTGAATTTGGCAGTTGAATTAACTGCCTAAATTAATTATAGTTTCTGTGAGTCTGTGAGTAACAAGGAAGCTAAACTTGACACAGATGACAGAGTAGGAAACTGGAAAGTGGTGGTCTGATAAGACACTTAAAAACAAACTTTTCCTAAACTACAAGCAATAATTACTACAGAATGCATTCTACATTGTCAATTTCCTGTTATTACTGAGCATTGTGGAATCTAGCCTTAGTCTCCACTCAATTTCATAAAGTCAGAGAGGTCATCTACAAAATCCTGAAAAGTAGTCAGTCAACCACAGTTATCAGGGTAGCTTCTGCTTTTGGCTAAACTATGCAGGATAAGAGGGAAATCGACATTATAGATAAATCAAGTAGAAAGGGAAAAGAGACTGCTGACCAATTCATCCTGTGAAATAAATTTATTTCTAGTGTTCATGTAAAAATGAAAACTAAATAAACACCAGTCTTACTATAGTCAGTTCCATTATTTTCCCACACAAAGACAGAGTCTCACTATGTGGTCCAGGCTGGCCTTGAACTTGCTATCTTCTTGCCTCAGCCTTCAGTGTTAGGATTACAGGTGTGAGCCACCACACCTGCCTCCAGTCACTATTTTTTTTTGGTACCGGGGATCAAACTAGGGTCCTTGTGCTTGCAAGGCAGGTGCCAGAACCACTGAGCTAAATCCCTGGCCCTCCAGTCACTATTTTTAAGACAGGTATTGAAGGCCATCAAAAATATACTTCCCTTGATGTATACAATTCCCTTGGAATTTGTGTCAAAATGACCCAAAGGATTAGCATGTAGGGAATGGGGATCAGATAACACAGGAAGAGATGTGATCTGATAGCGCACCTGAATGATGTGTATGAGAATTCACAGCACATTTCTTTCCTTGCAGAGGTTTGAGATTTTTTCCAAATAAAACATGAAAAATTCTTCTAATGCCTTACCTTCTCAAAGATAAGACTTCAATCTCATTTAAGATCCTTTAAAATTAGAAAAATATAGGAAAGGATTTTACACTCAAATTAGTATGGAGGTATATATTAAAAACAAAGTTAGAAGGCCAGGGATTAGCTCAGTGGTTCCGCCGCCTGCCTCACCATCATAAGGACTCGAGTTCGACCCCCAGTACCAAAAACTAAACAAACAAACAAACAAAGTTAGAGTCTGCTGTGGTGGCACATATCTGTAATCCCAGCTCTCAGGAGGCTGAGACAGGAGTATTGCTGTGAGTTCAAAGCCAGCCTGAACTACAAAGTGAATTCAAGGACAGCCTGAACTATATAGCAAGATCCTGTCTCAAAAAAAAAAAAAAAAAAAAGCCAGGCAGTTCAATGCTACAGAATTTTCTACACAAAAACCATGGATTAAGGGGCCAGCAATTTAGCTCTGCCACCTGCCTCACAAGCGCAAGGACCCAAGTTCAATCTCCAGTACCAAAAGTTTAAAAAAAATAATAATAATAGTAATAATTAAGAAACATGGATTAAGAACATCAGGAATCCAATGAGTCAACAACATGGGGGAATGGTTGATTCATTTATTAAAATATGCAAACTAGATCATTATATTATCATTCTAACTACATAAAACACACATATGACATGGACTAGTTAGAAAGGAATACATACAACCATGAGTTGTGGTGATAGAATTATAATAATTTTTTAAAAACTGTTATAATGCTGCTTTAACAAAAAAAGACACATGGCTATTCTGCTCCCCAACTATTATATACAGAAGCTTTTCCAGAGCACACCTGTAGCGAAGCGGCAGAGAAGACTATCTAGTGGACACCACAGAGACGGCTGCAGCACCGGGAAGAGGACAATGATACTGCTCTATGGTATACACTGAAGGACAAGCTTTCAGAAACCTCAACATTTGCTAATCATTAGCACCGGCCTGCATACCATTTAAAAGATGAGTGTTGCTTTAACTAATTAAAAAAAAACTCTGGAAAAACTAGTAAAATAAAATATAAGATAGCAAAGTAACAGCAAAAGTTCATCAATGTTTGGGTACTGGAAAAATCAGGAAGTTTTAATAATGCCCATAAACTAAGAAAAAATTGGCCCACCTTCAAGAAGTGAGCAGTTACTTTTCTCCTTTTCCTCTGACATTTCTGCAAAACTGAGTTGTTTTTTTTTCAACTTTGTTTTTAATTTTTAAAAGCATTTTCTACCATGTCCCTAATGAAGCTTGAAATTAAAATGGTCTTTTCAATCTTTTGTTTGTGCACCAGCACGAAACAGTTTAGATCTAGGAAACATCACAAGATAGAAAGAGGACAATATTACAGAAAATTCTTTTTCTGTTAGGCCTTGAAGCACTGTTTACATGTCCTCAAGGATAGATAAAAATGTGGTTAGCTTGTTGCTCTATCTCTGTCTACACTGAACCCTAAATGGCCTACAAGTCACTGTTATATTCATTCACTCTTTTAGTCAAAGATTTAAGCATAGGTATTCAGAGCTGTGCTATCTATTACGTGATCAAAATATGCTTTTAAAAAGACACAATCGGAACTGTAGGAAACTGCTTCTGTCCAAAAGGTAAATTTATTAAAAAAAAAAAAAAAAAAAGTATGCTATGTAAGATAATGTGTATTAGCATAATTTAGCCATTCAACAAATACACATTTCAAAATGTTATACACAGTATGACTTTATGAACAAAAAGCATATGCAGATGATCTCACAATTTTACATATACCTAAACTAATAAGCACAAAGCATTTTTACTATATCCTGCTTCCTAGATTTTATTTTTTGGTTTCTGGGGATTGAACTGATGACCTTTTGCATAGAACATATATGCTCTACCTCTGAGCTGCACCACTATAAAGATGGTATTAAAAAAGAGTCCAAGAGAGCAAGAAGCAATTTAAATATGTTCAGGGACCATTTTCATCTCCAGAATTAAGGATTATTTTGATGTTACATCATTGCCTTTTCTCTTTTACTTTCCTTTTTAGTTTTATTTTAGGATTCCCTATTTTTAATGTTCATACAGAGATTTCTTTAACTGAAATACCGAATAGTTTCTTTGGTGTGAAAAACTATAATAGTACACAGGATCCTAATGAGACAATTAATAATGTGAAATAGGATTTAAAGGGCTAAAGGTGTAGGGAAAGTGGGAAAGGTAATAAGGGAGAGGAAAAAAATATGAGAAACTGAAAAAATGGAAATAAAGTGTTTGTATGGGGGGGTGGAGGGAGGGCAGGGACAAGGAGAAAAATGAGAATCAAGACCTATTATGTAAAGGTACAGAATCCCAATGATGAATGTAATTCTATTGTATACCTAGATTGTACCAATAACCTCAATAAAAAGAAAAAAAAATATTTTTAAAAAAAAGAGTCCAAGAGGGCCAGGCGTGGTGGCGTATGCCTGTAATTCCAGCACTCGGAGGCTGAGGCAGGAGGATCACTGTGAGTTCAAGACCAGTCTGAGCTACACAGTGAGTTCCAGGTCAGTCTCAACTACATAGTGAGACCCTGTGTGGGAAAAAAAAAAAAAAAAAAAAAGAATACAAGAGGGATGGGGATTTTAGCTCAGCGGCACCACACATGCCTCACAAATAAAAGGTGTTGAGTTCGATGCCCAGTACCAAAAGAAAGGACAAGAACCATATGCTAAACAACTTTGATTCCATTTACCAGCTGACTTAATGAGACACATTACTGAATTCATAGGATTCAAGTCAACAGAAATAAAAGTGCTCTGTACAGTGCAGTATTCTACCTTTACTACTATTTAGTATATAAGAGAAAGGAGACAAGAAGAGAGTTCTATGAAAGGGAAATAAAATGATTTCTTATAAAAACAGAAATGGGAAACTGTGAATTCATTAGTGTTCACTTGAATTATCAAGGTTGAGTTCAACTCCAATTCTTTTATTTCCTTGTACTTACCATGACAAGAGTCCCAGTTTAAGAGGAGAGATCCTCGTCCCTTCTTCAGTGTCTGACAAGGCTCTTCTTTCTCTTAGGGTCAGATCTTTTATTTAAAAGAGGAAGAAAAAAAAGCAAAATTGGCAATAGTTTTTCCCATAATTAACTAAACTGTAATTAAATGGACTACATACATATACATGGACCTAAAAATCTAACCAGAATCAGCCAAGAATAAGTTGAATATCAGCCAGTCAAATCTGATAAATGCTTTTGTATAAATCCTTCTGGACTTAACCAAGTTCTATTAAAAAGGTAGCAAATACTAACATTCCTATACAAAAAATACTTTAAGCCTTGGGTGAAAATAATAAAGCAATAATTAAAATCAATCTGCAAATGCAAAAACAATATTCTCACAATTTTTCAGGATGTTTGTGTCATTATCTTATTCAAAATGGATCTCCCTATCTGCAGGAAGAAAACTGTCTTAGTAATAAGCAAAACATGAACAAACCACCTGATTACTCCCAATAGTCTATACACACCTGAAAACTTACATTGTACTAGTATCTTTTGCCTAGATGTTTTAAAACAAGAAATAAGGGGGAAAATACCCAACTAGAAATGTAAAAAGAGTTCTATACATCATCTTTCAAAGTTGCCCTTTTCTTTGAATAACAGTTTCATGAAAAGCCAACACTTCTGATTTGCCAGAATTCTATGAAAAGAGAATATTTTAGGGAGTTGAGTTTCAATATTCAACATAAGCTCGGTAAGAGCAGTGTTAAGTGAGTAAATAGAATAATAGCGGCCAGATTATGTGTTGTTGGAGGTTTGTAAGAAGAGAAGTGGCATCATATAATTCTGGCTGTTGGATGAGATGCAGTCTAGGTTGCTGAGGATGAGAAACAAAGAAAGAAGAGGGAGATGAGTTTGAAGGCTACTGTAACAATCCAAACAATACAGTGTTTACAGGGCAGTAGCGATAGAAATGGTAGGATACTGCAGATATACTTTCAAAGTACTGTTCACAAGATTTGAGCTAATGACTTAAAGAGTGACATAACGAAGCCAAGTGTGGTTGCACACACCTGTAATCCTAGCAATCCAAAGGCTAAGCGAAAAGGATTGTGAATTCAAGGCCAACACACTACACAGAAAGACCCTGTCTGAAGGAGAGAGAGAGAGAAGAAAAGAGCAAGAAGTCAAACTTTCTGCCTACACAACTGAAAGCCAGGATTTCCCATTTACTGATGCCCACAAGAAAAATGGATTCTGTCTCCCACAGAGAGATAAGGGAGAACAATATGAATAAGGGTTCTGTTTTAGACTCATGTTTGAGATGCCTGTTAAATTTCCAATTGAAGACACTCACCAAGTAAAGTGCTCAATAAACAAGACTGGAAATCAAGACTGGAGAGCAAGAAGAGGGACATCAGCGATGATAGTGTATGGATGGCATAAAAGCCACAACTCAGGAGCAAGTATGTGCAAAAAGGTGAAGAAGGCCAAAGTCAGAGCTCAGCATACTCCAGCATGCTTGAGAGGCGAGAAGAATGAAGGAGAGAGAACCAAATGATTCAATAATAAGCCAAAGTCAGAAATACTGTTACTATTCCTTCAAATCTAAACCATATCTTTGTGATCGGACTTAGCTCAAGAATTCAAAATATAACATGATTTCATTTATTCATTTACTACTCTTAACACTTACTCAATACTTTCTACACTCCAGGCATTGTCTGCACTTCATTCTCTACCCTCCTCAAGAAAAACAAATAGGGACCCAATGTCAGACAGCTGGTGTTGCAAAGCAAATAAAGCAGGGACGGGGGTACAAAGCAAAAGAAATGTCATTTTAGATAGGATGGTAAGGATGTGACAAAGGGGGCACTTATTATATTAATTAAAAAGAGGGGTGGAGGACAGGGATTTAGCTCAGTGGTGCCACCTGCCTCACAGCACAAGGTCCCAAGTTTGATCCCTGGTACCCAAAATAAATAAATAAAATAAAAAGAGGGGCAGAACCCAGGGGTTTAGCTCAGTGGCACCATGCCTACCTTGCAAGCGCAAAGTCCCGAGTTTGAGCCCCAGTACAAAAGGGGGGGGGCGCGCAAAGAAATAATTTCAGAGCACGGACTTATTAAAGTGGCTGTTGTAAAGAAACTTTTTAAATTAGAAACACCTTGGGGCCGGGGATTTAGCTTAGTGGTTCCACTGCCTGCCTCGTAAGTGCAAGGACCCAAGTTTGATCCCCAGTATCAATAATAATAATAATAATAATAATAATAATAATAATAATAATAATAATAAAAATTAGAAACACTTTTTGCGGCAGGGTCTCACTATGTAGTTGAGACTGACCTGGAACTCTCTATTGTAGCCTAGGGTGGTCTCAGACTCACAGCAATTCTCCTGCCTCAGCCTCCCAGGTGCTGGGATTACAGGTGTGTGCCACCATGCCTGGCTTGAACTTGAACTTTTAAAAAACCATCCTAACATTATGCAAAAAAAGTTGTGCTTTACACTAAAATTACTAATGACAGCATTATATACACAAACTGCTTCATCTTTCTTAGGGGGAGAGTACTGGGAATTGAACACAGGGCCTCATACCTGATAAATGCTCTACCACTGAACTACCACACACACCCAGCCCAAACTGCTGCATCTTAAACAACCTAAACCCAAGGAAAGTTGGTATATTTTGCAAAATTTTTATTAGATAATTCAAAACATAATCACACTAACAAAATATCAAAAATATAGGTGGAATGGGAAGAACTTGAAATCTTCACACAATGTTGATGGGAATATAAAACACTGTAAGTTCTGTAAGAGGTTAGCAGTCCCTAAATATGTTACAGAGTCACCACATGTAGTGAGGGATGGAGGCACACACATGTAATCCAAGCTACTCATAGGCTAGGCCAAGAGAATTGTAAACTCCCAGGCACCCTCAAAATAAAAAACAAGGGGGCTGGGGATTTAGCTCAGTAGCACCACGCTTGCCTTGCAAGCTCAAGGTCCTGAGGTTCAATCCCCGGGTGCCAAAAATAAAATAACAACAATAATAATTATTACTATTTTAAAAACAAGGGCTGGAGATGCCAGGCATGGTGACACACACCTGTAATCCCAGAACTCAGAGGGTAAAACAGGAGGATTGCTACAAGTTTTGAGACAAGCCTGGGCCACCTTAGTGAATTTAAGGCCAGCCTGAACTACACAGAAAGACTTTGTCTCAAAAAGAAGGGGGTAGGGGGTGCCAGGGATGTAGCTCAGTGGTGCAGCACCTGCCTGGCAAGCACAAGGCCCTGAGTTCAATTCCTGGTACCAAAAGGCAGGGGTAGAGATTACTGCTCAGAGGTACAGCACCCCAATATTCAATCCCTAGTACCCTCCAAAAGTCACAACACATCCCATCAACTCCTCTGTTGAATATATGAGTCAAGAGAAGTAAAAATATGTCCAAAACTTATACACAAATGTTCACAGGAGCATTGTTCTTCAGGTCCAAAAGGCAGAAACAAACTCAATGTACATTAGTTTATGAATACATAAGCAAAATGTATATACATATTCAGCAATAAAAGGGAAATATTGACATATGACACAACGTGGATGAATCTGGGACCAAAAAAAGGCCACAAACTAAAATACCATTTACATGAAATACCTAGAATAGGTAAATCCAGAGACAGAAAATAGGTCAGTGGCTGGCTTGGGCTGGGTTGAGAAAGGAATAGGGACTATTAGTGGTACTGAATAGGGGATCTTTATAGGGTGATGGAAATGTCCTGAAATTAGACAATGATGATGTCTATACATCATAACAAATATACTAAGGGCCACTAAATTGTATTTTTAAAAATATTGTATTTTATGTGATATGAGTTACATCAATCAATTTTTTAAAGGTGGGTCAAAAGTATGAATATAATCAAACTCCTCAGGAAATACTAGAAATAACTGTACTGCAAAAAAGTATGGAATCAACCAAGCAGCAATGTGCATTCTAAGAACATAAACTATAATCTCTAAAAATGAACTGTCAGTTCAAAAGAAGCCAGGCTTCCCTAGAAAAAAAATAACCAATTTCGGGTCTAGAACAAAAACTGTACAAATTGATTCCCGGACATTTTATTAAATTGGAAAGCAAGGGAAAACTATCAAACTACTAAAGTTTTGTTTTTAAAAAAAAGCCGAATGTGATGGTGCACTCCTGTAATCCCAGCATTCAGGAGGCTGAGGCAGGAGGATAGCTGTGAGTTCGAGACCAGCCTGAGCTACACAATGAGTTCCAGGTCTGTCTCAACTACATAGTGAGACTCTGTCTCAAAAAACAAACAAACAAACAAAACCACTCAGGAGTCAATTTAAAACAGATTCACTGGCCAAAAATGGAGTAATTTGAGCAAATGCAGGTAAGTACAATGGACTGAGGTTTAATTATGTATAGATAAGAGTTCTTAATGAAACACATTGTGTTGTGCCCTCTCAGATGTCTCACACACACACACACACACACACACACCCCACCACCACCACCACCACCACCACCACGGCTGGAAAAGGCTAGGGAATCAACCTCTTGCTTTTGAAAACTGGTTAAGGAGAAAGAAGTGTTTACCCTGCCTTGCATATCCAAATTCAACTGTGAAGAATCAAGTGGTTGTGACAGAAATGTTCTACCTAATATATGGAGAGAGACAAAACAGCACTATTTTACAACTGCTAATGAAATACAGGATGCAAATAGTGATCTTCTCTAAAGGAGAATAACACCAATTCATTAAGTAAACTACAAGACAAATGAGATGGGAGGGAAACTTCTAGATTAAGAGAGACACAAGTGACCATTTCAGCCAAATGTAATATGTGGACATTATGTATTTAGATCCTAATTCAAACAAAGTACAAAAATAAATGAACACTGGACATAGTGGTGCACACTCGTAATGCCAGCACTCTGGGAGGCTGAGGCAGGAAAATCAAAAGTTCAAACAGCCTGGGCAACTTAGTGACTCAGAGAGACCATGTCTTAATATACAGTGAGACTGGGGATTTAGCTCAGTGGTGCCACCACATGCCACAAAAGCG